CTCTAATCTTTTTTTCACTAGTGTCATGGGAAATTTTTAGTATGCCCAATTGAGGGTAAAATAAGAGAGATTTGCCTTTAACTTGCCCCTAAACTACCTGTGGGGATAAAATTATTGACATGGTATAGGTATGGTCTTTATTCTGAATCATTCTCAAGGCTGTCTTAAGGGGTTTCTATTTCTCATATGCAGAGAGATTGGGCTGTCTTGTTACATTCATGACTCTTGTTCTTTATTATATCTTAATTTTCCCATTTTTTGAGGATCTCTTATTCTCCCCTTTGTTTTACTTTCCCTCTTTTTTATGTTATCCTATTTGAGAAAAATGGAAGATGTTTGGGGTCATTAGATTTTATATTTAATAAAATGCTTCTTTTATTCTAATTTCTTTTTGACTACTGTTAATATTTCAGGTCAAGGGAAAGGATTTGATGTAGATTTAATTCAGTTGATCTCAGATGCTGTAAGTATCCCTGTGATTGCAAGTAGCGGTGCGGGTGCTCCTGAACACTTTTCTGAGGTGTTTAGTAAAACAAATGCATCAGCTGCACTTGCTGCTGGCATTTTTCATAGGAAGGAGGTATGACTTTTGTCTTACTGTTTTCTTATTGCGGATGGGAATGGTTTCTATTGATGTACTTCAGTGCATGTTGCTATTACTTTGAACCCTTTGTTGGTATTTTGCTACTTACCTCTTTTGTTGTTAAGTATAATCTGTTACTGATCAATTATTGCGTTGATTCATTGTCATTAGTATCATGAATGCGTTTGGATAAGCTTTGAAGTAAAAAGAAAACTCTTATCATATGGTTTTTTTGAGAAGCAACTATTTCTTTTTTCAGAAAGTACTATAACTCTTTTTTCCTAGTGTTTACTTATTTTAAAAACAGCTTGTCAATAATAGCCATAATTGATTTTCATCATTTAAAAGTATAAAGTTTTTATTGAAAAGAATATATTTATTATACTTTTGTATTCGCAATATAATAAATGTTTTGTCTTCCAATAAAAACATGCCATTTTTATTTGTTAAGTTGATGTTAACAACAGTTTTAAAAAGAATTTTGGACAATTTTTGGTTAAATGAAGCACTTCTATTTTAGAAATAGCACAAGCAAACAGGTTGATAATATTATTTTCCCCTAATAAGCAAAAAGAGTTTGATTGATTCAAAGATATTATTCAGACAGTGAATTTGAATTTTCCATTAAATGCAGGTGCCTATTCAGTCGGTAAAGGAGCATCTGTTGAAGGAAGGCATAGAAGTCCGAATCTGATCATGCATTTTGTGGCCAAAATTTTAGAATGAACTTCTGAATAAGCAACACTTGTTGTAACTTTTGCGTAATCTAACATTATAGCCCTCAAAATGCCAACCTTTGGATTATAAAAAGCTTTTCAGTTTGTTAACTTTATAATCTTTTATGAGAAATGGGTTTAGCATGTGCAGCTCTATCTGACCATTTGTTATTTCAAAATCCTATATATATATATATATATATATATATACATTTTTAGAATCAAGGGGCATAATATATAAGTTAAAAAAATAATATACTTTTTTTTAAAAAAAATATTATTAATTTTATTTTTAATTAATTGTCTTAAAAAAGTTAAACATGTATTAAGAGTGTTTGGATGCACAACTTATTTTAGTATTTATTTAATAATTTTTTTAAAATAATGACTATATTTTGAATTTAATAATTAAGTTTATTAAAATAATATGTTTTTATAACTTATAGAGTAGTTAATTTAAATAAATTGAAAACAAAAATTATAAATTATTTTTTATAAGTTCTTTGAAATGGGAACTTTGTTGCTCATAGTAGGCTTATCTATCTTGAATAAAATTGAAAATTAGGCAAATATTTTGAAGATTCACTCTATAACTAATTTCAAACTAGCTTTAAAAAATAAGATGTATGTTAAACGATTTTTAGTTCAAAATAATTTTTAATCGTTAGTATTTTAAATCTACTTTTTAAAATTATATATTTTTTATTTATTCAAATTCAAATTGTGCATAAAGAACACTACATTGTGTTCGATAAATGTATTTATAGTTCAAGAAAAATTAGCTATATCATTTGCAAAAATTTTATGACCACATTTACGACTAATATTATTTTTATTAACCTTAATTGTTATAACTAAAATTAAATATTTTTTAAAACATAATTATTATATTAAAGATATACAAATATAACACAAAATACAACTCAAGTTCAAAACACATTTTAACGAAAAAAAATATTATAGAAATAAGGGCCCATGAAAATAATAAAAATTTATAAGATAATGAAGTTCGATATTAGTAGTTTAACAGTAAATCGAAGGACATATAAATAAGGTAACGTCTAGTAGAAGTATTTTATGATTTATTAATTTGGTTAATAAATTTATACAACTATTTAATAAAAAAAAAAATGAAAGTAACGTATAACTTTTGAAATGTAACTTTTTTAAAAGTTATAATTTTTTTTTTTAAATTAACTTTTAGTATTTTTATTTTTTATTTACTTTATAAGATAACTTACCCTTAACACAATTAAAATTCTACATACATTTTTAATTTCATTACTTTTTTTCTCATTAATTTTACTATATTAAAAAATATATTTATCAAAATATATATCAAGAAATATTTTATTTTATATAATTATTCAATTAATTGATTCATGATAAATTAATAAAATAAAAAATATCTAATTTTAATATTAAATATCTTTTTAAATCATTTAATATATGTTAGTTGCACAGTTAGTTTATTGAATTTTAATTTTAATTTTACAAACTACTTATTACATCCAAAAGTTAAAAGCTCAAAACTTTCATTTCAGAATTTTTAGTTCATTTTCTTAAACAAAGCTTAAGAAGATCATAAATCTAAATAGCTTAAAATATTTTACACAAATAAATCTCTCAAATTTAATTTTTACTGTCCCTCAATTTTAAATGAAATGCAGACTTGAAATTTTATACATAGATTATCAAAATAAAATTTTAACTTCAAATTAAAAAAAAAATAGCACTAAAAGTACTTCCAATATCATATCTAAATTTGATACTCAAATTATCTAATCTTGTGGTATCGAAAATGAAAAATAAATGTTAATTTGTTGGACAGAAAGGCAAAGAGATCCCAAGTTGGATTGTTGTATATAGTGAATGAGTTTCATAAGCATAGGAAGAGAACAACTCTACTTTGTCGGTGCTAAGTTAATGAATTTGTGAATCATATACCGTTCATTCAAAATATTTATGATGGTTAGGTCATTCCCATTAATGATTCCATAAATATGGTTTCACATCAATACTTTCACACTTTCTTCTGCTCAATCATTCTCACTCTCATTCCAACAAATAAAGACCTTTCTGCTTCAATTTTTTAGATTTTTCATCGTTAAGAAACCATTTTATAAGTCTCACTAAATGAAGAACGAGCTTAGATTATTCATTTTTTGTAACCTGTGTGAAAGGGAATATATTAAAAAAGTATCATGTTCATTATAATATAATTTTAAAGAGAATACTAATCATCAGTCATTTTCATGAGATTAATTATCTGATTGGTCAACCCCTTAATGCCAATGAGTTCTCCACAACAATATATTAAATTTTGAATTATACATTTTTTATTTAGTACTTTTATTACCTATTCAAAAAATTATTTAATACTTTTATTTTTAATTATATACATATATATAGGCTGTGTTGAAAGTGATATTGTGTCTACATCTCACACTCATCTGAACATATATCAATCACTTTGATTCTATGAATTGAAGAGTCTGATCCTGAGAGAGTAAGGAAAGTAGGACCAGTGAGTAGATAAAGTCTCTGTTTTCTTTTTGTCTTTTTTTGGTTACAACATGAAGTCTGTGTTTGGGTATATTATTTATTGGAATTACTAAAAGAAATTAAACTAATAAATTTTAAAAAAATGTGAGAATTGTGAATTGTTTTCGTAAACTCTTCCCAATACACTTAGAATTGAAGATAATGGTTCTTCAAACCAGATTTATTCGTACTACAATTATGAACATGCATGAAACGACATTATTATTACTCTTTTCCTTTTTAAATAATGTCATTTATACAATAAAATTATATACATGAAAGGTAAAAACCAAAAGATAATTACGAAATAAAACAAGTAATATGATAGAAAATTTTAGTATATAAAAATTTGTTTAAAAACAACATGAATCTTTTTTTAACTGTCCTTTATTCTCCTTTTCCCTTTGCATTTTTTCTTCTCTACATGCTTTTCTGGAAAGTCAAAACACATTGAGCCCAGAACCGTTTGTGTTTCCCATTTTGATGCTTGGGGGTTCACTTCGAATACTCCTTTGTATTATTTTTAAACTTAAACACTAAACAATGAAAATTAAAGCTTTAACAATAAAAAATGTGTAACATTTATTAATCTTTAATGTTTATCACTTAGTTTTTAATATTTGATATAAAGTCTATAATAATAATAATAATGCCGAAGTATAACTAAGACGGTTTGCTAATTATATATGCTACATATAGAATAATAAAGATGGATGATAGTGAAAGGAATTTAATTAATTTAAGAGGCATTTTCATTTGAGTGAGAGGGATTCAAAACTTTGAAAGGTTCGAAGATGTTATCATATATATAGAATGGATGGATTTTGTTTTCATTTTACTTTATTGACACATGCATGCAATTTCACCATTGTGCATGCTTCCTTTGTTTAGTAAAGAATGCATCAAGAGAAGACAATGGAGAAGCAAATGCATCAAGAGAAGACAATGGAGAAGCAAAGTAATTAACATTAAGAAAGAGTTAATAATATTCAATTTAAGAATTATTTCCACTTAATTGACACGTAAATGCTTAAAGCAAACAACTGAACAACGTAGGTACGTGAACACATGAAAGTTACGTGCTATTAATTAAGTTCCCAACATAAGAATAGCTAGCATGCATGTCTTCCAATCCTTATGTGAATAGTGCAAAGTCTTCATGGAAATCCACCTCCAGCTCCAGCCCCAGCTCCTCCACCAAATCCTCCACCGGCTCCGGCACCACCGCCTAGTCCGCCGCCGCCACCACCTCCAAACCCTCCTCCACCACCTCCTCCTACTCCGCCTCCTGCACCGGCACCACCTCCAAATCCGGCTCCTCCTCCAAACCCTGATCCTCCACCAACTCCACCTCCTCCACCAAACCCTCCACCGCCACCAAACCCTCCTCCAGCTCCACCACCCACACCGGCACCTCCACCAAACCCTCCACCAGCACCAGCACCACCACCTAATCCTCCTCCTCCACCACCACCAAAACCACCTCCTCCTCCTCCTCCTACACCTCCTCCAAACCCTGGATGATGGAAGAAATTCTTCTCATCCTTAAACAAACCCTTTTCACTCCCAAGCTTCCTTGCATCAATGGTGCACACAAGCACTCCAAGAAGTGCAAGAAGAAGAATCTTAGAAGCCATCTTGTGCTAGAAAACCAAGTAACTTGGCCAAGATGGCTAGCTATTGATGAAAAATAAGAGAAGCGAGTAGGGTTTATATAGCAATGTCCCTAAGGTAACAAGGTTAAAACAATTAAAAACAACATTATTATGGATGAACATGCTTTAAATTAGGTCATCTTCTTAACCATGCAAACGCGTTGAGGTACATTAATGCCTTCAACTGCTTCTATTTGACAAAAGAGAGACACTTCAACCGTTCATGTCTCATGGCCCCACCACTTACTTATCTGCCTTGTCAGAGAAGGATATTCACGTTGCTCAGAGTTCTCTTTTGATCTGTTTTTGCATGGGCCTTTCTCTTTGTAGATTGCAGCTTTTGAGTTTCAATTCTTTATATATATTCAATATATACAACTTTCACCTTCTCATTCTCATATATAAATATACTATATTCATGGGTTTCTAGTGACTTCATGTGAATTTGTATTTAGGAGTCTGAGTTTGTTTTGTGATTCACATAATTGTAGTGCAATTTAATTTAACTGGTCTCAACTATAAAATATAATGTTGTTGGAATTGTATGGTTCATGGGCCCGATGGGGGATTTTTTTTTACCCAAAATAGGGTGGCTTTTAATTCTGGAGAAGCCTTAAAAAGAACATATTTTGTGATAAAATATTAGCATTGTTTGGGGACTTTTGGAATCTCAGTACATTATTTAACTCATAAGGTGAAAAAATGATATATACATTAAAGTTTTGTTGGTACTCGTACAGCCAAAAATGATTATTCAAGTTATGAAGCTAGTTACAAAAAAAGAGAAGAGAGGATTGGAGTTTTGAATTTTTAAAATGAAAGAGGGAGGAAAGATTGTAAAGAAAAGGTAAAAAAAGAGTGTACCTTAATAAAACCATTCTGAAAACCAATTTGGTAAGTTTCGTAGGACAATTTGATTGTGAGTTTAGAGAGAAATCTACTGATTTAATTCAAGTCATTGATGCCATCAAATTTAATTAGATGTTGGTATTGGTTTTTCTCATCCATATATACAAGGTTCTTTCATTTTTTTAATTTTTTTATTTTTTAGTTTTTCAATTTAACTTTTTGTTGATCTAACTCGTACAAGGAAAAATGATCATCAAAGTTTAAGAAGCTTGTTAGAAAAAGGGAGGACTAGAGTTCTAGTTCTAGAATCAAGAGAGGGAAAGCTTGTAAAGAAAACGACAAAATATGAGTGGACCTTAATAAATTCACTCTGACAACCAATTTGGTAAGTTACACAAGACAATTTGACTGTGCTACATTGAGAAAAGAGTTGATTGATTTAATTCAAATCATTGATGTGCTCTATAAAATTTCATCTCAACTTTTAGGAATTGAATTATTAATAATAGTAATATTTCATTGAAATTATTTATTATATTTTGTATTTTTAAAATAAAAAATTAATAAAATTTGAAAATTAACCTCAAAAATTGAAATTAATGAAATTATGAAATTTAAGGTGTTGGCCTTGAGTTTTTTTTTTTTTTCATATGTACAAGGTTATTTCATAATTTTTTTATGCGTTAAGCCTTTGATCCACTTTTTGCATTACCACTTTAGGAGCTATCTATTTAGGTTAAATTATATATTTATTTTATATGGTTATACTCGTTTATAAAAATAAAAAAAAATTAGTGAATTTATCTAAAAAAATAAAATACTAAATAAAATAATCATGAATTAAAAAATTAAAAATTCATATATATATATATATAAGTCAAAAATATTTATATTTACAAGAAATATTTAATTAATAGGGAAAGTAAAAAAAAAAACTGACTAATAAGATTTTGAATCAATCTAATAAAAATTATTTACTTATATTATAATAGAAAAGTTATGAATATGAAATAAATAATTTAATTTTCTAAAATTTTAATTAATTGTTTAATTTTACATTTTAAATATAATAAATATTTTTAAATATTATAAAAATTAATAAATCATATAAAAATATAAACTTAATTAAATGTTTAATTCTTCCAGAAGTTTGCAAAATTTAATTTAGTCCTTATAAAATAGCTTGTTAGAATATAGTTTATACTTTTTCATAAACTATTATTTTTAATTCATTTAGCGATAATCCAATCAACAGTTAATAAAATATAGAATATATTATAACAAAAAAATTATAGAAATTAAGTCCAAATTGTAAAACTTCTATAGGAATTAAACACTAAATTAAAGCAAAAATCATATTATAAATTAATATAGTTACATATTACAAAATTATTATAAAAATATTTACTTTAATATTTTATTTATTCTTCTAAAGATAGAATGAAAAGGTAAAATATAAAATTAAATAAATTTTTTTATTAATCAAGTATAATGAAAATAAAATCAAGTTACAATATATATATATATATATATATATATATATATATATATATATTCAATCAAATTTTGTGTATTGTATCTTTTTAAAATTATAATTAGTTAAAATAATTTGGTTAATGTGTTTACAGATGTTCTTAAGAAAAAAACTTTCATTTTATTTCATAATTTTAAATGTATTTTAGTCCATGTACATATAAAAATTAATGTTTTAATTATTATACGGGTATTTTATTATATTTTAATTCCTTTCACCATGATTGTCATTATATTAAATAGTAAAATATAATAAAAAAAATTTGAAATTAAAATGTAATATTTTTAAGTATAATAATTGATTCATGTGTCAATTGTATGAAGTAAATATATAATTTAATTTTTAATTTATTATTTTATCAAATATCGTTATAAATCATCTCAAAATTATTTTTTTAAAAAATTAGATAGTTAGATTTACTAATTGTACCATTGCTAGCCATCATTCCATAACAACCACACTGTTGATCGTTGTTGCAAGTTACAACCTATATCATTTGAAGGTGGTTCTTGACAATGTCAACGTTAGTACCAGTATTGTGACGTTGGATGAAAACTTCGTAAACATTAGTTGTATTATTTGGTTTTAATTTTCTTATTTTATTTTTATCCCTTATTATTATTTGTAACTATAAAATCATTACCTTATTTATTTTTATTTTTAAAAATTTATGACAGAACCAAAAAATAATAAAAGTAATGCGTCAATTTAATAATTAAAAAAATAATATAATATAGAAGTATTTTTTAAAACCAAATAGCCCCTTAACAAAAGGGAAATGCTTGATCATTCCATCCAAATTTAAAATAATGATCCATTCATTCCTATAATCAATTACAATTATACTCTCTTTATAAAACAAACATTTTTTGCAGCAGTCATAATGTTGCTCAGCCATTTGCATCATCAGAGTAGACCAAATTGTTACAAATCCCACAAGTACATTTAGCTTAACAAAAAAATATTTTGGGCATAGCTTTTATCAGACAATTTTTGTTATTCTCTTTGATTTTAGAGTAGTATTTTTAGATGTATACATATAGATACATTAAAAGTATAGTAACGATGATTAAGTATAATGCTAAATACAGTGTTAATGATTTGATGTTCAAATAATGAAATTGTTAGCTTAAAGATGAGATTGGTAAATTTGGTGAACGGAGAACTTGTTAGAAAATCTTGGCAAGAGAGCGTTCTCTTGAGAATATGACTGTCATGCACAAGCAACATGACATTTGTAGCAGAAAGGCGTAAAATTATTTTGATTGATCAATCTTGTACAACATGCAAAGCTAAACAATAAAATGGATTATAGGAATAATCGGGCTATTTCACAATACATTAAAATTTGCTATTCACTAAGTAAGAATTGAAAAAAGAATAAAGAAATTAATTTACAGTTATCTGGATAGAGGGGGAAAACAAAAAGGAAGCATGTTGTATCTCCTAAACAGGGTGAAGCTGAACTTTGTCTAAACAATTGTCCAATCACTTTCCAGAGAGGGCGGCTTCTCAGCAGGGTAAAGATTTGCAGGTTTAGGAGGTTTCTTTGAAAACAAAGATGACTTGTTGTCAAAGAAACTTGAAAAAGTTTGTCGAATAGGCTTTTCTTCATCGATTACCTCATCTTTCCAGACAGGATTTGTTAATAGCTTATCTTTGCCACCAAAGATATGACTAAACCTCTTAAACCTGTGCTTTGGTTCACCAGTACTCATAGTTGATTCTTCTGTGTGCTTCATTATCTTTAGTGCCTCCTCAGGATTCAGCAACATTGTCTCCACCATTTCATATATCTACAAGGGACATGACCATTATTATTTTTTCTTGGATAGAAATTACTATAAAATAGTTGCAGATGAAAATTCTCAAGACTCCAGTATCATCATAATCAGCTACACTCCAAAGTAATTATTTTTCATCCTTATGTGCATACTGATTGAGTTAGCCAGCACATTTAACCCAACACTACAACGGGAAAATTAGGTAGGATTGATTAAAGTAAAAGTTACGAAGTTTCATAAATTTGATCATTCCTAAGTTTCCCTTCCATGTGGTTAATGGCTCTCCAAAAAGCTGGATGAGGCAGTATTGGAGTTCAATCCCTTAGTTATACTTTGACTATTTCTTTAAGAAGCAAATTTTTGGTATTACTACAGTATCTAATCCCTTGTAGTTAATATTCTAAATTTAGAAAACTTTTATTTATTTATTTCAAAAATTAAAACGGAAAAAAATAATCATACAAAGGTGTCATTATTATAGTGGCACTGTGGCAGTAGTATGTACCAAAAAGGACTGAAAATATTTTCTTCCTTAAGGTGAGAATCGATATCAGAGATGTCTAAAAAGGATATTGGGAGCCACTATATAACAACAAAAATTAGTCACCTTGGTGTATTGTTACCCACCTGAACAAGTTCATCAACTTTCTCGTTGAATCTGTTGCTTTGACAAGTGGCAACAACGTACTCCTTCCATTCATTGAACCATTTTGAGAAGTCAATGTTACCAGACAGCATAGGTTCAGCAATTGCAAATCCTAAGCCGAGCTGTGTAATTAAGATCAGACATTTTTATTAGAAAGGCATGAGAATGATACAATCACTGTCAATACTTTACTTGTTTACTACCAGCTATCATTAAAATCTAGTCATAGAAGCACAAGCTGAACTTTTATCAAGACATTATTAATAGTTACAAGATCAGAGACAATTTCTCATTTCATCAACTGGCTAATATACTACATATTTTTTGAAAAAAATAATAATTACAAGTTAAGAACAATTATAATATTCATAGCTAACAGAGGTTATGGTGGGTATTTTTGTCAGGGATGAGAGCATTAATCACTTGGGTCCACAGATAACAACATATGAAGCAAGCCACAGTTCATCAGTATCAGTACTTCAAAAGATAATTTGGGAGACGATGACAGATAACAATTATGTATCATTTAAACACAACTAAAGGAACATAAGTGATATAAAAACAAAAAAGAAAGAGAATTTACAAGAGAAACAAACAGCTGTTCGAAAAGTTCAGATGGCTGGATATCCTCAAATGCATCAAGGATGCCCTCCCTACAAATGAGAGTAAAATGCTATTCAAGTTAGATAGCTTTAATTTTTAAAGGTAAAATCCAAGTTCATAAAAATGGTTATTCAGACTTACACTGCCAAATCCTCATCAAAGAGAGGTGCCTGTTTAACAGCTGGAACTGGTTTAGATGTTTCCCACAACTCACGCCACAAATTACCTACCATCAACATGTAATGGAGTTCAGAGAAGTTCTTTTATATGATATCAAGGGAACAAAAAGCAGCCTAACAGTGCTCACGCTTCTTATAAAATGTGTCATGAAATTGAGACAATGGTCAGCATTCACTTATCTGGACATGGTTGACCAGATATATGATATTTAATTCAGGTTTATGTCTTATATAAATGTATAAAGATTGACACACAAAAAGATGTCAACACTTTCAACTCAATCCCTTGTTCAACCATTAATTACTCTTGACTCAAAACTTAGGGTACAAATTCACATAAATTTTAGTTCGAACACATTAATGACTAAGCACCCATGGTCATCAAAACATAAAACAACTAAAGGCTATGGCCCAAAGGCAATCTAACAAGTGCTTTCTATACTAAATTCAAGGTTTATAGTGCAATCTATCATGCAATAATTTCAAAATAAGCCATAATACACTCATGGATAGCACAGGGGAAGCATATGACTTGAATCATTGACCTTATCCAAACAAAGAAAGAATGGGAAATCATGTTGAATTATCCATGAACAGAAAAAAAAGCGTTAAAAAAATCATGCATAAACATAAATGGACTTAAGCAGACAAAAAAAGTCACAATCCATGTAAATCTAATAATAATGGTACAAAATGGTACACATCAAACAATAATTTAATTTTCTAAAAATATAAAAGATGGGACGAATACTATATAATAGCTTTTGAACCGTATCCATCATATTATGAAGGTAAAACAAAGTTCAAGACAAGAAATTAGTGAACCAAAGAAAATGAACGGGATTTCATAGCCCTAGAGTAGTTTTAGGAAACTTGGAGACCAAGAAATCCTTTTCCATTGAGGTAAGGAGTATTTATAGAGAGTTCAGCAGTGGCTTGAGCACATTTCAGTTGTATTCGCAAATGCTCAACAGTATCTTGTGAGAATATATAATACATACATTTCATTATAGATCATTCTATAAGAGAGATTATATTTTATTTTATTTTATTGTCAATATTTTCTTTCATTAGGGTACAGTTTCCAAGCTTGGCACTTTAAACGATAAAAGTTCGCTCACTAGCATGAATTAAACAATTTCTGCCATATATACTGTGCATTCAGCAAATTGAAATCTTTTGACAATTAAAGTTAATAAACATATAAATGGTTGGAACATTAACATACAGCAAAGTTTTGTCACAAATGGTTGCAAGATAAACTAAATAGAACATTGTTTCAAGCAAAAATATCCACAATTTTATCAAATGTGAAGATGGCACATAATCATGGGCAAGAATGTTAGTTCACCTTCTTTTTGCATTCGCAGACTTAGTTGACCTTTCGTAGACAGGGACTCACCACCATAAAAAGAATCACTATCCTCAGTACTTCCCTCACTTTCTGTCCAATCAGGAGGAGAGTACCATCTCACAAAATCTTCCAAAATGCAACCAGGATTTGCAGCCTAAAACATGATCACAAACAGGTCAAACTCAGATAGAACATCACTAAGTTGCATTTTAAAAGCATTAAGAATATCAACAAGAAAAGTTCTCTTCAAGGGAAAAAGTCTGACCTTGAAAGCCTGCATATCAGAGAGGAGTTGAGAGCACCCAGCACCAACACTGATCATAGAAAGAAAAGAAAATTGTCAGGAAATGCCAACTTGATAGTAACTACAACCTTTTTAGACCATAGAAGCAAAAATATAGTGAAAACAAAGCTGGCGTTTGCATATTAGACATGAGATTTAGATACATAATGTATTACAAAATAAAAATTAGTGAATATCTTCGGTTTATCAACTAGTCCATATATATATATATATATATATATAAAGGATAGCAAATTAGACACCTACACCATTCAAGCCTATAGAATCTTTATTTTTACTGCATGCAAAACCAGGCCAACATTTAACAAGGCTACTTTGCACCACAGACTATGATCATGTCATAGTGCATCCAATATCATTGACTCCAATCTTTTATTAATAGAAGAAAATTTGTAAAAACATTAAATTGCATTAGGTCAATCCAGACAATTAGGAAACATACAATTGCATCAAAGACAAAAGGAGGAAAACACAAGCCATATATCAAAATAATAATAAGCTTTCCAATCTTTCTGAAGGTATGTCTATGTAGAAAGTGAAAACCCTGACAGATGAACAACAGCTCAATACCAAAAAAATATGTCCCTCACCAAAGGTAGAAAGAGATCTAGTTTTCTGTAAATTTAATCCACTTCTTAAACAAACTAATTGCCCAGTCATTCATTCCAAACTAGTAACAATTTATTTTTAGATAAGTGGTTTCCTAATATGTCTCCTGCCACACTTACCAGAAAACTGATAATTATTCATCACTTGCCCGTAAAAAGAGCACAGCATACTCTTTACACGGATGTACAAACTCATGTTATTTCATGCTGTCTTATTTTCAAATTCACATTAAAGGGAAGGATGACAACAAAACTGGAGTGTTATTCTAAGAAGAACCTCAAGGCTAATTAACAGAGAATGATAAAACTTAGTTAAACAGAAAAAGCTATACAATCTTCATGAACTATCTTTTGAATAGTTGCTCAGACAATGTCAATCCCAATCAACCACTGCCTCCAACACAAATAGAAATTTTAACCAATAGATAATAATTGGTTTCCAGGCCTTGGCTCAAGGACTGTGTTAAGAAATGGATCAATAGGTCAAGAGTTCAGATATTGCCATACAATTACAAAAGGCATAAATGAACACATCTAAAAAGTGGTTAAAGACCCAGAGGCAACATGAAGTTGATAATTTTATTTAAAAGAAGAAATAAAGATAACTGGTATTTATTCAGAATACACACATAAGCAAAATGGATTTAGATTTTAAGATAACAGACTAGGTCAGATTGATCTTAGATTCTTAGTTTACAGACCTCCCTGTCCGCAGAACAAACTCCTCAGTCTCTTTGATCAGATCTTCAGTGAGCAAGGGTCCCTCCTACACGAAATGGCCACAAATATCAATTACTGGAGCAAGTTCAAGTATTTGTATAGTGCAGATAGCTATCAAACCTGGGTGACAGGAGAGTACACAGGCTCGCCAGTTTCCAATAATGTCAGATCTCCAGATGGGCAATCAGCACCAAGTCGAAGAACAAGCTCTCCAGTGCTTAATCTAGCATATAATAAAGAGCTTGCTGGAGTTTTTTCAGTGTAGTTTGTTGATTCTACTGTATTTGAATTGGCTTCCATCATCATAGAGTCTAGGCATTTGGTGGCCATAATATGGCGCCTTTTCCGAGAGATGCAACAATTAATTACTTGGAATTGTTGATACAGAAGACATGATTTCAGATCTGGAATGTCATCTGGGGGGACTCCAGGTAAATGTTTTTCTTCACACCAAAGTTTTCTCAGCTGTATAGGTTAAAATAAATTAAAAACACTCATTTTCAGCTTATAAGAAAGGGAAAAAATGAAACAAAGTTGGGACAACAGAAGTTTATGTAGAATTTTTTTTTTTTTTTTTTTCCCAAGCAAGTAGATGTAAAGCTATAAACTAAGTAAAACAAGTTTGGAATTAAGAGGTTCTTGAAGGAACTGAGAGTTCCCAATCATACGATCTTGGATAAAAATATTAAACTGATTAAGATAAAACAATCCATCAACAACTTCACAAGCCGCCAAACTAAAAGTTACTCAAGCAAAAGATAATAACTTATATATTGTAGAACTAGAAACTAGAAAAAGATAAGAGATTAAATGAAATATAAAATTCTAGATTCTTAATAAAAAGTTATATAATATTAAAAGTTTAAAACTATAAATTTTTAATGAGTTAGACATACTTCAGCAACAACCCTGCACCAAAAAAGAGCCATTTTTCGAAGTGTCCTGAAGTTTCCAATTACTTCAGCTAGCTTAACAACTAAGCTTTCAGCTGGAGCACCATGAATATCTCTTGGCAAAGATGATATGGAAGTTTCCTCTGGATCAGAGTTGATCTTTCTTCTAAGGAACTCTCCCTCTGCAAATATGTAGCAAATATTACAATGGAAAGGGAAGGTCATCACAGAACAAAGTGCCAAAGAAAACATATGAACATAAAATGTAATTATCTCATTAGTGAGCCACCTAAAATTCATATACCTTGATCAAACAGCGAATTGATTAAATACACAACTTTCTCATTGCTGCTAAACTCAGAGGTAAGTTTTTCCTCCTTTTCACGCAACACTAAAGCCTTCACTGCAGAGAGACTTAAGCTCACCCTCTCTCTAGCAGGAGAAGAACTTCCTGATGAAGCTACAAAATCTTTCATTGAATTTGTTTTCCTTCCAGCCCTAATCAAAAGGCCCAACAGTTTAAGAGGCTAGTTATACCATTATTATTGTTAAATTAAAAAGAAAATGCATGAAGCAATTGATAGTGAGAAATTGGCTTTTCAGTCGCAAGAATTTGGCTAACAGAATCTTGATACATTCAATAATGAAAAATTTTAAGCAATTCATGGAATTGACAGGAAAAAGGCAAACATAACTTACTCGACTGCTATAGCCAACTGCTTCAGAACAGATGACGGAGGAATGGGGTGTTCAGTTGCTGCAGTTAAGCCTTCAACCGAGGGAATTGCTTCTGAAGCCTAAATTAATGTTTTTAAAAATCAGTTAAGCAAGCAAATTGCATATTTGAATCCAAAAATCATTGAAAAAATATTAGTATTTAGTGGTATGCTCATTTTACTTGAAAGAGTTCTCAGGCTGTGAAGCATAACATAAGATGATGAGATAATTAATAAGCATGCATTACTAACTCATCACAGGTATATCATGCATTGAATAGTATTCCTATTTTATGAGTAATGAGTGATAATTTTTGAATAGTCTAAAAGACACTGTTCAAGACAAAACGTACGAATTTGGCATACACTCAGATTTCCTAAAGTACTTGGACAGCTGCCTGGTTCATAAACTTCAATTGGAATTTGGAAGATTAAAATACTTGAATCAAAATGTTCCAGATCTTCCTACCTTGGCATCAAGATCACTTTTCACATTGAGGACGCACAAATTTTCATCATAAAATGGAATGGAAGCCATGTTAATATCTCCAACTTTATCTGTAAGTCCAACTTTTGTTCTCCCTTTTCGAATGTTGTTAATTCTATCTTGCCAATCCTGCTTTATTCCTATATGTGGAGGTCTCCACTTTATATGCTTCAGTTCAGTAAGAAGCTGCATCATTACGGTACAAAAGAAACAGTAATGAAAGTAATTAATTACACACATTACAGAACAAATGTTGCCTAATTAGCACCTAGACATAACACAAACACGAAGTGACCTCGTATCGTATTAGTCATCGTTAGGCTAAGACATTTTGGATTATGAGGACCAGTTTGGTTCAAGATAATATTTTTATGTTTTCATAAATAATTACAAAAATGCCACCTAAATTTCACTTCATTTCCTGTTCCCAAAAATTTGTGCAAGAAAATATCAAGTGATGAATTTACTATGAAAATCTAATAACCTAGTGCATTGTACATTAGTAATAGTTTATTTCGTAGTCCAGCCAAAAAATATATAATTATATATATTGAAAGCATTTCAAATTTTCACCCAACAAATAAATAAAAATAAGTTAATCCAAACAGACACCTTAATCTAAATTTTCATTTTCATATTCAAGCTTCAATTAAAACCAAACAAATATACTTCATTTGGTAATTAAAAAAAAAAATCTTTTTTTTTTCCTTTAAAGCTAAGTGGTAAGTGTCACATTTCCATCACAGATGCAACAATTCAAACACATAAAATTAAATCAAATAATTATTTTCAGAGCACAAATTACCCCAAAAATTTTCACAAACAAGTAATTAAGTAAACGCATCTTCAAACCTTTGACTCGTTCTCATTCCGAACAGATTCATCTCCATGCTCCCTCCCCAAATCATCGTTCAATTGCCTATCAGAATCTTCAAATGCCAAAAAACAAGGGTCAATACACATTCCCAAAAACAAAAATTTGAAATTCCCAAAAAGACAAAAAAAAAAAAAAGGAACCGCATTTCCACGCAATTGAGCACGTGCGAACGAGAATGAAGAGGGGGAAAAAACAAAACACGCAAAAGGGCATCCAAAAAGGTGAAGAACCTCACTCACCTCGATCGGATTTGAAGTCCATGAGAACACGCTCCGCTTTTGAAGCTGCTGAATGGAACGCGGTTTTCGCTTTGGACACGAAGGAAGAAGTAGCGTGACCCTCCATATCTTGCGCCGGGAGTGCGCACGTTAAAGGGAGAACACGCTTTTTCTCAGCTTCTCTATGTATCAACGAAGAAAACAACTAAGAAATGAAGAAGAAAAAGAAGCATAGGTAGATAGATAGAGCGAGAGTGCGTGAATGTGTAAGTATTTGTAGTGTGGAAGAAACAGAACAAGTCCAAGTCCAACACTAAGATAAAGAAGAAAGTAGAAGAAGAAGAAGAAAATGGTGATGGTGTGACCAGGTAGATGCTGATGCTTCTTCAATGCTTCAGTGTTTTAACTTCTGATAAATATGGTAGAAAATATAATAAAAATCATTATTTTTTTCCTTTTTGTTGTTTTAACCAAAATGTTTAATATGTTATCACTTTAATAAATATTATCCAATAATAAATTATATTTATTTTTCTCTTAAGTTAAAGTAACTTTTTTGCCTTTGAATTTTTACTTGTTATAATTATTTTAAGATCTTTGAGGATTTCATGTAATTAAAATTGTTAAATGAAAAGATGGTGGAAAAAAGTTTTAGGAATTTTTTATGGAAAGTTAAGCTCGTGAATATTATGGATAAATTTTTATATACGACCAGATCCTCATGGAAAAAAAAATATAAAATAAACGGATAAATAAGCATTTAAACAGGGATCATAGAAAAACAAAGCAGTTAAGAAATCATAAATGTAAATACAATAAATGACAAACTATTAATTAATTAATTAATTATATCTGATTTTTTAAATATTTATGTGAACATTAATTAATTTACTAATTATTTTTGTATTAAATTAAATTTTATTTATTTTTTCATTCATATAAATTTATTCATCATTTTAAATATATCAAAAAGTATCAATTACTTTTTTTCTAATAATATCTTTATTTATTAAGAATAGGTAAACTAACTGTAAATAACTTTAACATTTTTTTACAGAGATATGTTAGTAAAATTATATTATTTTATTATAACAATTGATAAGACTAGTTATTTTTAAAAATATGTGAATTAGTATTATGTAACATTTAAAATAAGATAAATAAAGTGTACTTTTAATTTTTTATATATGATTACATGATTTATACATGTTTGTTAAGATTATATGACATTTTGTGTTAAACTTAGTAAAATATCTCTAAAGTATACTCTTAATTGTATTTTCACTATGATCATTTTTATTATATTTCTGTTAATACAAATCTTTCTAATGAATATTGTCTAATGAAAAAGTTTGCAGATCATGAACAAAAATTGCATGAATATTTAGAGGAAGAAAATAAGCAATAAACTCCAGTAATGTGGATTCGTTAAGTTACCCATTTTCAATTCATTAATTATGTACCAATAATAATCCATTATAAATTCGTATATAATAATCTTTTTGCAAGATATGAAATTAAATTTTGACTAAAGTACGAACTGGTCCTTTTTGTCTCCTTAGATATTATGTGTCTCAAAAATAAAATTGTAAATCATGAGAAATATTTTAATTTTCCCACATTTGCTATAAATTATGCTAATTAAGATAGTGATCAATAAAATGATTAAGTTTTTGTGCAACTTGTTAACATGGTTGTGAATGACATTTAAATAAGTTACCATAGCTTGGAAAGAAATTGTATTAGCAAACATAGAGGGCCATCAACCAATGGAATTAATCAAATGACTTTGTCTTAATCCAATAAGTTTAATTTTAATATATAATAAATTTTATGTGTTTATGGTAATTATATAACGTATCTTATTGATAAATAATTTATTAGTATAAGGAACTAATATATATTATCAAAATATCAAACTTTTAATATTATACATTAACTTGGTTTTTTTTTTTTTTTACTTGAGATTTTCAGAAAAAATGAGAAGATTTTAGAAGTAATTTAAATTTTTAATAATTTTTGAAGCTTTAAAATTTTATAATATTTTTATAATATTTTGCTGTTTATCTCTCAATCTTTATACTTATGTTATGACATTTTTTGAGTTTTTATAGTTTTGTAATTTTTGTAAAATCTCATATTTCAATATATGTTATCTGTAAATATCATATACAAATAATAAAAACTATTAACAGTTGCAAATGAATAAATATATGTTTAAAAATGCAAAGATTATGACTAATTGTCACATATTGAAATCAATAAATACAGAATTTACATTAAAGAAATGAACAAATATATAATTTATCGTCATTATTATGATTTTATAAATTATAATATATATTCTATTGATTCCTACATTCTCTTTTTTCTACTTTTGCCAGAAAACAAAAAATTCATGTTATTTTTTCCAACGTTCTCAAATTGGCTATTTTATTTTAATATCATTTAGTATATAAAATATTATTAAAATAATTTTTTATATAAAATTATGAATTAAAATAATTTTTGTATAAACTTGAGTACTAAAATAATTGACCCATATAAGTTTAATATACACATAATTAAATTTTAATATTTGGGTTCATTTTTGTGTTCCTCACTTATGCATTCAAAAGATAATATCATAACTTATATTTGGAAATGCTGAATTTATCTCATCGATTCAATTATCCATTTCTTATTTATGAACAATAAATTTAATTTAATTTAGCAATTGGTGCAATTGAAATCTTCAAGAGGGAATTATAAAATAACATTTTAATCCTTACCAAGTCAAAGTGCATGCAAAGTCAAATTTTACATGTAATAGAGCACTCACTGGTTAGCAGAAAGTTTCATTGGGTGCAAAGTTTAGGTTGTGTGCTTTGGATTGGGTCAAAATATTATATTTGCCATTTGAGTTTAGTCTTTGTTTTTCAATTGTTATACAGTGAAACTTTTTAATTAGTATAATTAAGTGTTGATTGGATTCTTCTTATTGGCTGGTGATTTAGTAATTTCAGAATAAAATATATTATATACAATAACATTAAAATAATATTTATAATAAAAAATGATTGAAATTGGAACAAATGTAGCTTATTTTAAAACTTAAAGTTTATTAATTTGATCATTAAATTTATAGAATTGTCTGGTAAATAAAATAAAATAATTGTAACTTTTAAAAAGTTCGAAAGTTATTTGAAAAATGTTTAATTTTTAAAATTATTAATTATTTTATTACCTTTTAAACAACGTACCTTTCACCTAAATAACATCACATACACATTTTTATTTTTCTTTTTATTTTCAAGATTGTCTCATTTGTTTTATTATATTCTTTTCATACATTCTCTTTTATCTCTTCTATCTAAATATATTTTATGTTAAAATAAATATAACTTAAAATAAATTATGTTATACAAAGAAAATTTTTATTTTTTATATAAGTATTTAATTAATTAATAAAAAAAATAAAACAAGTGATATTTAATTTTAATATCATATTAAATATAATATAATAAATATTACATATATTTAAAGTTATTTTATACAAATGACTCACTTAGTTACATAAATAATTTAACAAACAATTTTAATTTTATAAGTTATATATATAATTACAACTTTCAACTACAAATCTATAACTTTTAACTAATTTTAAACTTATAAGCTCACATATATTATTTATAAAAATTAATTTATTGATTAATAATAAATAAATAAAATAAATAATATCTAAGTTTAATATTAAAAAATTTATATGAAATTTTTATCGATATATATTTACTTATTTTTAAGAAGCTTATTTTATTTTTTTAAAATATTGTATTTCACTCAACTTATTATTATTAAGTAAAAAAAATTCAAATAAAATGAGTTAAATATCATTACAAAAAATGAGATTTTTTAAAACTAAATATTTAATCTAATAAATGCACAATTAACATAAATCTCATGATATATGAATAATATAAAAATTTAATAATTGTGCCGGTAAGATAAAAAAAAGACAGATAATTACTTTTTGTAAAAAGAGGGAAGAGTTTATTTTTGTCAACCAACTAATTTCACATTCAGTATTTATTAATTTAATATTAATTCTAAAATTTATTTTTCATAACTTATTTTTTAATTTTAAAAATATTTAATGGTCATAATTAATATAATTAATATTTATTATTAATTAAAATTTTTATAATTTTAAATTTTATAATGAATTAAATGTAAAAATGAATATATATCATACCTTAAATTTTTTATAATTAAATATTTTACTTTAATAATATTAGTGTCATGCTACACATAAATTGGGAGAATAATAAAGAAAAATGAAATATTGCTGCTAACAAAGTAAATTGAAAGGTCAACGAGGTTAGACACTTAGACCTAAGAAGTCAAAGAAACAGCGTGCCACTCCCATTGTTGGCCACGTGGCAATTGTTTATAGGTTGAAGTGTCGTGGTTGCGCAAGGGGTTTCTGGTACCCAACAGAATCTACTGCAGAAGAGCATTTTCGGCACAAGTTTCAGCTTTTCGTTTCGGAGATGGTTAATGTTTGCTTTGAAAGGAACAAGAATCGACGAGCAGAGAAGAATTGAGAAGATGTGGATTTGGTATCATCGGTTGGTCCTGTTCTGCATTGTCTGTGGCCTCTGTTTTTCTCCGCAGTTCACAAGGGTTTCTTCGACCTTACACACTGACAATGTAATTATTAAAAAAATTATCCTTTTTTTTTAATTTGTTTCAGTTTTTTCAAATTTTCAAAATTTCAAAAATACCCACTTTTCTTTTGGTGAGAATTTTGCTGAATTTAATCATGGGGTGTTTGGATTGAATGATTTTGGATTTGGATTAACATAGAATGGAAGCCTAATAGTGTGAGGATTTTTGGGTCATTGTCTACACAAATCAATAGGTTATTATGTATTTTTCTGCTTGAGAAATGGGAATTGAGATTTGCATGCTGTGTTTTAGTTCTTATTATTGTTATGTAGATGCCATCTTTTTATTTGCTGAAGGATTCCCATGGGCTGTTTGGATTACCTGAATTTGAATTACTATAGAATGGGATTGTGAATTGAATGTGAGAGGACTTGTTTCATTTTCTGAAGCAAACAGTAGCTTTATTTGCTTAATTTGTGAATTTTTCTGCTTGAGAAAAATGAGAAGTTCATACTGTGTTTTAATTCTTATTATCCAGCTATCTCCTTTTTGGATTTTAATATCGATATGCATGTTTTTCAATGGATCACCACACAACTAGTAACCTTTTAAATTAGTTTTGTGGGCCATTTTTTGGACTTATCTCTGGCTTCAAAGTTATGCCCTTGTTTTGTTTTATTTATTTTTTGTTCCAAACTTCTGTGTTTTTTTTTTGTCTAATTTTCATGACAGGATAAAAGTAAACCAATTGTTTCTTTGTTACAGGGTCATATATATTCAAATGCTGGAAGGTGAGTCAGTTTAAGTCTTTGACCGAAAGTATTTTGGACTGGGAGAACATCATTTTTAGTTTGCATTTTAGAGTTAGCTTCTTCACTTCTTGGTTATCCAATTATTAGTAAAGGCGAGGAAATAAATAAATGGTGTGTGATTCGTAGATGATACACACCAATCATTTGTTTCATGTCTGTAATTGATATGCTTTGTTTATTTGTTTGCTTCTTTTACTTTCTTTTGGTCTATGTTTGTGCCTTTCTTACTTTTCCAGGAATTGGTGTGGCTAATATATAATGTCACTGTTCAGAACTCTGAATCAGGATGGTGGTGGTAATCATCAAATACATTGCTCCAGAGAAAGAAGTAGAGCAGCTTGGAAGATCATTCAAGAGGTATTAGAATATATCTAAACAAGTGATTCTCTTAATGATATAACTGATAAGTCTGCATTCTCTTGATTTGTGATTTTTGCTGCAGTATTTGATGCCCTTTGTGGAGAAAGAAAAATATCATATCTCAGGAAGTTGTAAGATTCACCCTGACAATGACATATACAGAGATCAAGAACAACATAAATTTCATATTGATATAAATGAATGGCAGTGTGGGTACTGTAAGAAAAGTTTCTACGAGGAGAAACATCTTGATCAGCATTTTGACAACAGACACTCCAGTTTACTTAATTTGGTATGATTATTCTTGTTCAATATGATTTATTTTTTCTTCCATTGATTGAAAATGGCTTGTTAGAGGAAAAAATCAATCATCATATCATATCTTTAAAATAAGAGGTACAAATTGGATTAGAATGAATAATCAGAATGTCCTTAGTCATTATATGGTTAATATGTGGTATTTGTGACATTTTATGGTCATTTCATGAGGAATGTGAGGTTGTAAATTATAATGCCAAACTGAAGCTCCGGCACTGCTTACCATTGTCTTCTAAAATACTGCCGGTCATGCTGTGCAAAATGCTTGTTTCAGACTTTTCTGAGCTCTGGCTGTAGCCTAGCCTAATATTTAAGAACATAATTCATGCCCCGGACAAGATAAAATACTGAAACAAGTTTGTGTGTTGGTATTTGGTAGTAATGCTGGAAGTAGTTCATTGACTGAGCCAGTCCTTGAGACCTTACTTTCCCAAAAATAGCTAAACCGTCACATCTTTGCTTTATCTTTCACGTTTTAAAGCTCATAGTTTGAAATGAGCTTTTTTTGAGCTCTCTCTCTACATGCTCTCATTTTCAGTTATCCCCTCTTGACCTAGAAGTACCATAGGAAATTTGTGGAAAAACCCTTGTTGGAATGATTTTTGTGGTTGCTATGATTCTTTAACTTGCCTCATATAAAGTAAATGATATTTCACAGCACTTACATAATTCAGTACAGCACAATGTATGAATGGCTGACCATGAAAATTTTTATATAGTAATGCAAAAGATGAAAATTTTGGTAGCTTTCTCTGCTCAATCTGTGATGCAGTAGCATTAATAACTGAAATGAGATTGTTGTTCTTTGTCCAGAGTCAAAGCCAGTGCTTAGCAGACGTATGTGGTGCACTGCACTGTGACCTTGAAATGAATTCTGGATCAAAAAAATCGAAGTGCAATCCTCCTGCTGCTGCAAGAAATAAACATTTGTGTGAGGTATGCTTTTGGTCCATCTATTCATTTTCTTTAACCAAATTTTTTTTTGTGTTTCTAATTTACCTATTTTTTGGTAGAGCTTAGCTGATAGTTGTTTTCCAGTTAACGAGGGCCCAGCGGCTAGCAGACTTCATGGTATTGCAATAAGTTTTTCATTCTTGCAAAATCTTGTGGATTTATGGTAGTTATTGGAAATGTGTCTTACGTTAGCAATTTGACAGAATTCTTCTTGCACCAATTCTGTGATGCACACAGCTGCACTGGAAGTGGGAAACCTTTCTCCAGAGGACGCAGGGTAATTCTGAAATCTAAATTTGGGTTGCCTCCCCCCTCACTTCTTATTTTTGTATGCACTTTAATAAGTGCTTATGGTTAACTTGCAGTAGCCTGTTCAATTTTCAGAAATCTTTATTTATGGTTAAAGATTCAGAAGTCCTGATGAATGTATTTTGAAAAATTGTATAGCTAACGGAAAGCAAATTTTCAAATATCCCATTTAGTTTTTACAAAGGAACGTAGGATATAGATCTGACACTGAAAGCCTTAGTGAAGAGAAGACAAAACATGATATATGCAACTTTGTGATGAAATAGTGGAAATGTATCTGTGAGATGCTTTTTCCTTGAAGTCAAGCTTTAGCAGGATTAAGAGAAATTTTCATTAAACTGGTTTTTTGATGTGTGCAGAAGAAGACAAATGTGTTCTACATCTTTGCTTCCATTTTTCTTGTGATATTGCTGCTACTATACTATCTCTACATTTACTTATACCAGAGGTATTTACTTTGAAACTTCTCACTGATGAGCTTATTTTGGGAAGCTTTATAATGGCCCCAATAAGGTTTGTCTTGTGTATTACAGAGGAATGAAAAGGGAAACTCAAATGCTGAAGCGTATCTCACAAACCAGCAGAAAGAAAAAGCCATCTTAATTGATGGTTCTTTCCCTTTAGAAGTTCTCAACCTACATTTTTACAAAGCAAAGGTGTAACTAACAGAGATATACAGCAAGAACTGCCCTCAAAATCCAGTTTACACCATTCTGCTATTTACAAATTTGAAGGGAGAAAGAGGTCGCCATCTTCAAATGATGTCTGTGTTTTGCTAGTTTGTAAGCCAAATTCTTGAAACCTTTGTGAACACAAAGGGAGTGCATGACAGAATCCACCTCGGTTGGTTGCTTTTGATTGTGCATGACATCACTAACAAGAGCAATAAGATGAACCTTTACGATGTATTATCTTAATCTTTACTAACTTGATCAGGGTTTATTTGTAACCCTTTTAACATCACCTACAGTGATTTGCTTTAAATGGCTTTTTGAGAATTTCCTGCTGAATTTTGAATGTCGTTATGGTTGGGTGGATGGAATAAGGTCTCATTTTATTCCTCATCTCAGTAATAAGATGACAAACACTGGATGTAGCTGTGAACTAACTTCAACTTTTTTTATGAACTTACAATTACTGTACATCTATGTCAATTATTTTTGCAGAGATGTTGCTTTTGGGAATTGTTACATAAAGAATACCATCTTTGACCTGTGCCTTAATTTTATCAAACTCTATATTTTCTGGGAGGGCTATTCTGTGGTTATACCTACCATAGCTATTGGCAGGCCAGTCTTCTTCATGTTTAGTGCTTGATTCTTCATTGCCATTTGCTTGACCTTCATGGTACTCCCTGTTTGCTTTCTCTGCCTTTACAACCAGCATGTTCTCTTCAATGCATACCTTGACATCATTCTTGTTCATACCTGGCATGTTGAATCTCATTTTGTAATCTTTCTGGCCTTCCTTTATTGCCCAAGGAATCTTTCCCTTGCTGTATTCATCATCTCCTACAACTATCCAAGGTGAATTGCTACTGTTAACCAAGGGATCCTCTACCATCCTCTCCATTGTGTCCATCATTTGCTGCACAGTCCTTGCTACTGGAAATTGGTTCAACAACACTGTATAAAAGGACATCATTTGTCAATTGTCAATGCCACTGAATTCAATGCCTGATGAAGAAATAAAAAGAATTGGTTAAGCATTATTGTTCAATTACCTTTAGGTGAAGCTTGTGGAACCTTCATCTTTGGTTGCAGTTGCTGCTGCTGCTTTGCCTTTTGCAAGCTTGCTTCCCCTCCTGTCATAGCCTTAACATTGTTTGAGAAAGTTTTATTGCTTGTGCTTGATAAAGTTAGCAACTTGACATTGGGAAATTTGTTCAATCTAATGGATGAAGTGGGGGCATAGAAGCTCATATTTGGGAGAGTTGAGGCCATTTTTCTGTTAGACAAAGATGTTACAGGGATTTCAATGTTATGGTAAGGCAAAGAACATTGAGAAGATGATGTTTGAATTTATATTTATAGGATGCATTGGACATTTCTGGACCCAAAGAAGCTTTAAAAAATCCCATCTTATGATTGTGAGTTGGGTTCTTGGTGAGATCTAGACTTCTCCACACAATTCTTTAGCGGCCTAGTCTATTTCCATATTTGGATGGGGATTTGGGAACATATTCCGCGTCCAATTTATTTGTCCTTATGTAGGGACCATTCTTTTCAGTCTATTTTTTAATATTCGCACCCTCAAATTTATTTATTTTTTGGGTTACTTCCGAAAATTAAATTTTAAAAATAATTTATAAATTACTTTCAAAATTTTATTTTCGGAAGAGTTTAATATATTCTAAAAATTTAATTTAATTCTAGAAAAGTGATTTATAAATCACTTTCAGAATTAAATTTTTGAAATTAAAATTAAAAAAAAGAAAAAGAAAAGAAGGGGTATAAAAAAAAATTTCGTCATTGAGCTGGAGTAGAATTCCTGTGAATTCCTATATTGGTCCACTTTTGTGATTAGGCCCCCTTAGTTTGTCATTTTGAGACAAGCAGGCAAAACCCTCTTGACCACATTAAAAAAACAGAAAAAGACAGGAAAAATCCTTCCTTATTCTGGCTAAAAAGTGTAATATTACTTGGATTTTCTGAATGTTTAGGTATAAAAAGTTTTTAAGCTAAAGTTAGATGTCGGAAAGTTTGTAAATATACAAAATGAATAATTAGTGTCCTAATTATATATTAATACGTTGTGACCCTTTTCTCTTGTCAATGTTTTCTTATTTATTTTATGGAAAAGCCATAATTTTCTCGTCCCGTAATATTTGTAAGAAATAAAAGACAAAAATAAAGTGAAAGTGAAGTATAAGATGTCAGGATTTTAAGCTTGATCTTCTGTAGAGCTCTAAATTATATTTAGAAATAAATAAAAATCAGGTTATTAAGATATGCATTTTCTAAAAATAATTAAAATTATGAATAAAATTTAAACTTGATCTTCAAAATACATACGAGGTATCATCGTTATAGATTATTTACAACAATTTAATCTTTTACAGTGTGAATTATCATTTTAAGGATCAAAATTTCAAATATACATTAGAAGATTTTTTTTGTTTAAAACATCAGCAGACTACATTGATGTTCGTTTGAAATACTAAGGGATTAATTCATATCCAAAATCTTTTTGACCAGCTTAATATTTCGTGTATCTTTAAAACTAATTATATTTTGGGTGTTTAACTTATTTTGAAGAAATATTTGCCTTTTTTTGGTCCAAGAACTTTTTTATTTTTAAAATTGATGCATTATCCTCTCAGTCATGTTCACTGGGCCTTGAAAAGTGTAGAAAACAAGTTTTAGGAGCAAGCTGAAAGAAGATGATCATTACAAGGGTTTTAGCAGAATGACCAAAAAGAAAGAAAGAAAGAAAAGAGGTTTTGCCATCAGCTAAGTAAAAGGAAGTTAAAAGATTACCAATTCTAATACATGAATATGCAACAGAAAGATACTGTATAATAGTAAAAATACAACCTGATCCAAAATGAAATCAAGAGCTCTACAGAAAATACAGAACTGCCTTTGCAGATAGTTGGACGATCTTTTCCTCATAAGGAAAGAAACAAAAAGGATGCAAAGCATTCCATTAACCTTCCCACCCCCTCCCCCCCTTTCTCTAAATGTAAACTTGTTGCATTGATGACCATAATTCACATTTCATTCAACACAAAACCATCATTACATGTTTCACTTTCAACAAATGTGAAGCTATCAGTGTCATGTTGATAAATGATAACTGCCACCAAATCTCAAAATTGTATTTGAGTGATTAAACTGAAATCTGAATCATTTCCTTCCACGCGGATCCCGACTGAGCCCATATTTCTTCAATGTTTTAATGTAATTTCTCATAAGCGAAAACTTGTTGCTTCCTAGATGATAGAAATAATCCCAAGAATAAATACCGGTCTTATGCAAGTCATCAAAATTGAGTCTGGACCATCCAATTCAACAATCATGCATCACATTCTATTAGCAATTAAATATTGAGACTGAATCTATATCAAATGTAAAAGCTTAAAGTAATACCTCACCCCATAGTTTCCTACTGGTTCTGCAGACATGATTCCCACATGGCGCCTCCCAGATATCACCTGATTCAAGAGAATCATTTAATAAATGAAACAACATTAGAAAAAATTCAATAGAATCCAATTCAAAATTTTAAAAAAGAATGGGATGAGGAAGGACATGAATCTTACTAAAGGCACGTTTGGGTAAATAATGAAGCACTTATTTAATAAGTTTTTATTACACAAGTACTAATGTCATAAATTTGATCAAGAAACTTGTTAAAATAAGCTAAAAAGGCTTATTTGGAAAAGTTACACCAAGAAACTTATTAAAATAAGTTAAAAGAGCTTATGAAAATCATAAATTCCCCATAAACTCCTCCAAACGTCCCAAATTCAACTAAAATCTGGTTGATGAAACTCGTGCAAAAATTTTTCAAACGGTAAAGTTAAAAAGCATTAAAAAAAGTTTTAGGAGTACCTTTTCACCTCCAATTGACCTAATTTTGCCATCAACTGCAGGACTATTAATTCTGAGAAATTCAGCTGATAAGATGAACAGTCTTCCATTGGCAAATTCCACTTCTACCTGAAACAACAAAAAGATTGAAAGAGGAAACAATGACCTATTATCATGTACGAAAATCAACACAGGAAATCACATTTCCATCAATTCTAATTCCCAATGAGAAAAAGCAAAAAATAAATAAAAAATTCAACCTCTCTCAATCCTATGTATTGCAACCTAAACACGTGCAGATTTAAGTAAAATGAATGAAATTAAAGGAAAAGCATTAAAATTGAAGAGAAAGTAACGTGTTTTGGGGCATGGAGAGAGAATCTGGTGAGACGTGCAGTTTGTTGTGGCACTGTGTTGAATCTCCGAATCGCCGCCAGCATTGTTTCTGGAAAGAGAGGTTTTAGCGTTTATTCTCACTCTTCCAATTGCACTCTGTTGCCTTAGTCTTTTTTGTTTTTTAATACTATTTTTACAATAAATTTTTATGATAATAAATAAAAATAAATCCTTTTGAATTTATCAGAAAATAGGCACAATCTCCATTATTAAAATATTATTATTATATAATTAAGAGATCATTTCACATTTTTTTAATCAAAATAAATGATTTTTTCACAACTACTTTTATCAATTTTTTCTGACACATAATATTTCTGTTGATTTAAATTATTGCTTATGCTTATTTTTCTAACCATTCTACTTTACCAAAAGTGGATTGGCCCATCCTATTTCATTTTAGAAAATGGACTTGATGTTCTAATTCCACTCATTCAAGTGTGCATTGGTGAAAAAGTGGATTAAACTATCAAAGATTAAAAAATTTTGAAAATTGAAGAATGGGTTAATAGGGCAATCTATCTAAAATTAATATAAGAAAAGAAAATTAACAATCAATAAAAATTTAAATAATATTTTTATATTAATTATTAACTGATCTGGTAATTAATATAATTAATTATTTTTACATTATAATATTAAAGTGTTTGTAATATTAAAATATTAGTGTTGAGTAAAATGAATTGTCATGAGTATGCATAAAGTCTTTCTAAATTATCCGAATCATATTATAAATAGTTCACTTAGTCTAGATTTTATTATATATATATATATATATATATATATATATATATAATAAAAGAATAATCTTTTATTATTGATATAAGTTTAAAAACTTTTATATTGATTTAAATTTTTTATTTAACTTAAATATAATATATTATAATTTATTATTTTATTAACTAATAAATATAAATTAAATAAAAGAATCAAATTGAATATAAATTTTTTTAGATTTGCACAAATTTATATATATATATATAAGAGTATTTGTAAATTAACATGTGATATAGAGCATGAGCCTGCATAAATATTAAACCATGCATGAAAGATAATGCCACTACCATTTCTTAACCTATGGAGTTCCCTTTTGTATGATTATGAATGGATCAAAGGCGTGTCACTTCAAAAATGCTGTAAAGTGATTCTCTGATTCCTTCTCAACCATAGTCTCTGAGCCCAACAATGAGACCAACCATAAGCATAAACCTACGTATCTTAGAAACACAGTTACAACGATGTCAATGTCTGAGACAATTCAAGCAGATTCTATCTCAGATGATTCTCACAGCCTTTATAACGGACACCTACGCTGCAAGTAGACTCATCAACGTTTCCACTCACTCTAACTTCGTTCCATTCGAATATTCCCTCCGAATATTCCATCACCTTCACAACCCCAACGTCTTCGTATGGAATACCATCATGCGTTCCCACTTGCTCCAAAACGCACCACACCAATCCCTATACTTGTACAAGCTCTTCCTCTTAAACGACGTAGTTCCTGATAACTACACCTACCCTATTCTCCTTCAATGCTGTGCTGCGCGAGGTTTGGAATTCGAAGGAAAGGAACTGCACGGGCATGTTGTTAGGTTCGGCTTTGGTTCGGTTGTTTACGTTCGGAACACGTTGATTAATTTGTATGCTGTTTGTGGGAACATGGCGACTGCGCGAAAGGTGTTTGATGAAAGTCCTGTGTTGGATTTGGTTTCTTGGAATACCCTTTTGGCTGGGTATGTTCAGATGGGTGATGTTGAGGAAGGGGAGCGTGTGTATGGTTGGATGCCGGAGAGGAATACCGTTGCTTCCAACTCGATGATTGTGCTTTTTGGGAGGAAGGGTTGTGTGGCAAAGGCGAGGCGAGTTTTTGATGGGATTGAAAGGAAAGATATGGTTTCGTGGAGTGCGTTGGTTTCTTGTTATGAGCAGAATGAGATGTGTGGGGAAGCGTTGGTTTTGTTTGTGGATATGGTTGCAAGTGGGGTGATGGTGGATGAGGTGGTTGTGGTTAGTGCTGTGTCGGCTTGTTCGCAGCTTTTGAGTGTATGGATGGGGATGTCAGTGCATGGGCTGGCTGCAAAGATTGGAATAGAGGGTTATGTTAGCCTTAAGAATGCATTGATACATTTGTACACGAGTTGCGGGAGGATATTGGATGCTGAAAAACTTTTTGATGATGGTGTCCTCTTGGATCAGATATCTTGGAACTCGATGATTTCTGGGTACTTGAGGTGTGGTTTGGTTGAAAATGCTAAGACATTGTTTTATTCCATGCCAGAAAAGGATGTTGTGTCTTGGAGTGCTATGATATCGGGTTATGCTCAACATGAACGTTTCTCACAGGCTTTGGCATTGTTCCAAGAAATGCAGGTTCATGGAATTAGGCCAGATGAGACTGTTTTAGTGAGTGTCATCTCAGCTTGCACTCGTCTGGCTGCTTTGGACTTGGGAAAATGGATTCATGCCTACATTAGTAAGAATAAGTTGCAAGTTAACGTTATTCTGGGCACAACACTTATAGATATGTATATGAAATGTGGGTGTGTGGAAAATGCGTTGGAGGTTTTCAATGCAATGGAGGAAAAGGGGGTTTCTACCTGGAATGCTCTCATTCTTGGGTTGGCAATGAATGGTTCGGTAAAACAGTCACTTGACATGTTTGCGGATATGAAAAACACCAGGACTGTTCCTAATGAGATAACATTTATGGGAGTTCTTGGAGCCTGTCGGCACATGGGCCTGGTGGATGAGGGGCGCCACTACTTTAGTTCCATGATCCACCAACACAAGATAGAGCCAAATATTAAGCATTATGGGTGCATGGTTGATCTTTTAGGACGTGCAGGTTTGCTTAAAGAAGCTGAAGAACTGATTGAGAGTATGCCAATGGCACCTGATGTTGCCACTTGGGGTGCTTTGCTCGGGGCTTGTAGAAAACACCATGACAATGAAATGGGAGAGAGGGTGGGAAGAAAACTCATTCAGCTTCAGCCTGATCATGATGGTTTCCATGTATTATTGTCAAATATATATGCCTCAAGAGGAAATTGGGGCAATGTTCTTGAAATTAGGGGAATTATGGCACAACATGGGGTGGTAAAGACACCTGGTTGTAGCATGATTGAAGCAAATGGAATAGTTCATGAATTCTTGGCTGGAGATAAGACGCACCCACAAATAAATGATATTGAGAACATGTTAGATGTAGTGGCTGCAAAATTGAAGATTGAGGGCTATGTACCAACCACAAGTGAGGTTTCACTGGACATTGATGAAGAAGAGAAGGAAACTGTCCTTTTCAGGCACAGTGAGAAACTTGCAGTTGCCTTTGGACTTATCACCATTGCTCCACCAACTCCAATCAGAGTTATGAAGAATTTGCGCATATGTAATGATTGCCACACTGTTGTAAAGTTAATCTCCAAAGCATTTAATCGTGAAATTGTGGTAAGGGATCGCCATCGCTTTCATCACTTTAAGCACGGAGCTTGTTCCTGCATGGATTTTTGGTAGCAAAACTGTACTTGCTATTAAAGTGAATGGGTATCCTATGCTTAAGGAAGGAGCTCTCAATTGTTCTGGATATCAAAGTATATAGAACTGAAGATTTTCCAGATTTGGTTTGTTTCCTTGCTGCAGAATCAAATTTGTTCGTTCTTATGCTCTTGTTGACAAAGAGTGACAGGTAGAGTATGTTATACTTCAGGATATATCAATCAAACTTTTCTGAGGTTGATGAACGAACTTTTCTGTGGCTTGAAGCTTCAAGAGTCTGAAGAGAATTGATAAGTAATCAAATGTGTTATAATGGTTCTTGTGGTTGCAGATATATCTGTTGATGTTGATTGAGTTTGCATCGGACAGTTGGCCCTTTTTCTCGGTTAAGTTTGGAAAAATCAAAAAATCTCTTATTCAATCACTATCTCTGAGTCAGTGACCATTCTTGTGAAGCAGCTGGGCGTGTGAAGGGATGTCCTCATTTCTTGTATCTATTAGAAACAAGCCCTCTTCTTAAGACTTGGAGTAAAGTTGATCAGTGATGTTACTGTGTTTTTTGCCATACGCATTTCGGTTGCTTGCTCAGCTTTTTGAGTTAAATGGGCCACCCATCCCACCAATCTACGTGCTGATATTTGACATTTTCTTCTATCACCTAATTTGTGCGAAAGAGCCCCAAACAAATGTTCCTGCCCTTCAGCATATACTCCAGACCTTCTTGAAAAGGTACCAAAGGAGCCAAAGGATGTGCTTGGCATATTTGATGTACTTGTACATCTTCAAGCACATCTGAGCAAGGATTTTATTTGCTTACACTGTCAATGGAAGTCTTTAGTATGATGTTATCAAACATTATATTTCTCACATTTGCACTACCCTTCTACATGACTCCTAAAATTGCACATAGTAAAGCTCATCAAGTCTCTTTCAACATTTATACCATTCTTTCTGATTGAACATGGTTCTTCACATGTTGTTGATACTGAAACATTTCTCAAATGATGTTGATACTTGATACTATGAACCGTGTCCAGCATGATTGATATATTAATTGATGGAATGATCTATGTGGTGCTTTGATTCTTTAAATCGTTTAAAGCATAACTGATGGTTTATGCTTGTTTGGAAGGGAACAAGAAGAATTTAAGAGAAGAATGAAGAGGATGTCAGTTTGGTATCATCAGTTGGTCCTGTTCTGCATTGTTTGTTGCCTCTGTTTTTCTCTGCAGGTCACTATGGTTTCTTCAACCTCAAATGCACCACACACTGACCATGTAATTATAACAAAAAAAAGTTTTTTTTTTTTTCATTTTTTTTCCAAATTATTACAAATATCCATTTTTCTTATGGTGAGAATTTACTGAATTTAATCAAGGGTTGTTTGGATTGTATGAATTTGGAATATCGTAGAATGGAAATCAAACTTGGAGGATTTTATCAGTAGCTTATTGCCTGATTTTTTTACTTGAGCAATAGGAGTTGACGAGTTTTAGTTCTATTATGTGGCCACCTCCTTTTTATTTGCTGAAGGATTCATTTTTTCTCCAAGGGCTATTTGGATTGGTTGAACTTGGACTATATAGTGGAATTGTGAATATGTAAGGAGTTGGTTCATTTTCTGAAGCAATCAATACCTCAATTTGTGAAATTTTCTGCTTGAGCTAAATACTTTAGTTCATGCTGTGTTTTATTTATTTATTTTATCTAACAACGTTCTTTTTAAAAGATAATATTGATCTATTTTTTTTTTCCAATGAATCACCACACAATTAACATTTTAAATTAGTTTTGTGTGCCACTTTTGATTTTTTTTTATGGAGTCATCTTTAGCTACAAAGTTAGGTCCTGAATTTATTTTATTTATTTTTTGTTCCAAACTTTTCATGACTGTATATGAATAAACCTTTAATTTTTTCTTTGTTACAGGGTCATATAGATTCAAATGCTGGAAAGTGAATGAGTTTTTATCTTTGATTTTTGGACTGGGATAGCATCATTTCTACTTTTCATTTCAGAATACTTTCTTAACATTTCGGTGATTCAATCAATATTAAGGGAGGAGATAAATAACTCAAATAGTCCGTGTCTCGTACATGATAAACCCCCATCATTTGCTCCCGTGTCAACAAGCAATTGATATGATGTGTTCAATTGTTTCCTTCTTATACTTTCTTGTGCTTTGCTTGTTTCCGGGAATCGGTGTGGGCGTGCGGCTAGTATATAATGTCACTGTTCAGAACTCTTCAGCAGGAGTAGGGTGTTAATGATCAAAAACATTCATCTGGAGAAAGAAGCAGAGCAGCTAGGAAGATCATTCCAGGGCTGTTAGAATATGTCCAAACAAGTGATTCTCTTGAGGATAGTAAGTGACCTACTTGCATCAAATGTTACCTAATTGATTAATGGTCATTTTCTTGATGCATTATTTTTGTTGCAATGTTTGAACGCCCTTCATGGATAAAGAAGAGTATCATATCTCAAGAGGATGTAGACTTCACCCCAACAATGACATATTCAAATACTATATAAATGTATAACGGTGTGGATACTGTGAAAATCTGTTTGTAAATAAAGAATATCTTATAGGTACATGAGACAGAAATGGATTTTTTTCTTTGGAAACTTCGTATTGACAATGCAATTATGCGAATAATGCATTGCAATATTTCTTTACTTTTTTTTAGAAAGGTTCAAACTCGAAGAAATAATAGATTATATACATACAAGTATATTTCTTCAGAACTTATTTGCTTGTTGATGCAAAACAATCTAATGATTTTAGCCTGCCCACAACGATTGTTATCCCCAAAATCAATGAATCTCAATTTGCTACAAAGTGTCCAAGATAAAATTTCACCAAAGAAACCATGTTTGTTTCTGGGTTTATATACTCAAAACGTGCATAAATTTGAACGCAGCTGAGAGTAGCTTTCGTGTAATGAACATGTGTATGGCTAATGTTAATGATAAACCAAACAGGCTAAATGCATCGACTCAATTTAACGTGAAGTGCCAAATGAGTTGTGCATTCTCTCATACTTAGACCAGTGAGAGAAAAGTGAGCCATAATAAAAAAGTCATTGAGGATAGACCAGTGATTCATGTGAATTTCTAACCCTTTGTTAATACTTTGGTAAATATGCAGATCAATCAAAATTGTAAATCTGGATTCAACAATTCATTCACTAGAAACTCAAATGAGACAAATATTTATCATGAAAGTAAAACATGTACATTATGGTCAATTAGGAGGATGGGTTTTGGTTTGGTAAACAGATTGCACTTTTGATTCCAACAAAGCCACGTATTTATCAAGCATGGAGACTACAGCTTCAAATTCAGTCACTTGCTTCTCTATGGCGTCAATCTGCTCAACATACTCATTAAAGCTACCACTCTTGGATTTCAATTGCTGCACAAAAACCCTTAACCCTGAAGCCAAATCACCAAACCCTTTGTATTCTTCAGCCACCTTCACATTCATCTTCTCCAACAGCTCTAGATGATTGTTAGTCCCCTAACCCAATAACATTGGAAATTACAATAAATAAATAAAAATCACAATTGATCTTCCAAACAATCACATTTCAATTCATCGTGTGTCCTTTGAATTGATAAAGAATTAAGATTTCAAAGAGGGAAGGAGAAGAAGGGGGGCTTTCACCTGAAGCTCCGATTTGATCATGGTGGTAACACTGTTGAAGAGATCATTGAGTGATTCAGCAAGTTCATCATGCTTCTGATCTTGTGCTTCATCTTTCTTTGCAGTATCCATGGTTAGAGCTTATAATTGACCAATTCTCAAGGGGAGGGTAGTATGAACAGTCTAACCAAATGTTGTTTTTCAGGTGCAAACTGCAGTCATTTAAACAAATTTAATATGTAATTTAGCAGCAAGCTCAGAAGTCCAACCCTACTTCAAACTTGTCATAAATTAGATGTGACTGTGAATGTCTGTATCATGCTGTTCTTCCACCAACAAATTTCCAGTTTCTCCAATTCTTTTTCTCACCTAAATTTAAGCATGCATAGAATTGCAATTAACAATAAACAACAACCACCAAGTTTGATCCCACTAGGTGTGGTTGGTGAAAATTGCAATGGACAATATGCAAAATAATTTCTGTTTATGAATCATGAAGTTTAGTGAATATTAAAATGCTACAAAAGTAAGATCGTGTAATGTAAACAAAGATATATCAGACAACGATAAAAAAGACCTCAGCGATGCAAGGAGAGGAAGAGTAGGGCACCATCAACAAATCAATCAGACAACATAATCCCACAAAACTGCCACTCTGTCTTGTATAGCTTTATAGTAACTGATATCAATACGACATGTTCATAAAGATAGTGAACTTCTACTCTTTGGAATTAAGATAATGATAGAAGTTAAATTGACTAAATTAGTCACTGACCTTGTGACAACTTTGGCAGATAGATCACTGGAAATAATCCAAGTACTAAAGGCATAAATATCTAAACAGCACAACTATCAGAAATTAAGCAGCCTAAAAAAATGTAGTTTGCTTAAGAATTGTGGCTAAATTAAAACATCATGAAAACATTCTAATTTCCAAGAGAAAATCCTGAAAGATCTCCCGTCATCAAGTACAAGTAACCCATCCTCTAAGAGGAATACCTTTTTACGCATCTCATTACTTTGCTAGGAAGTACTAACCCAGTTTACCAACCACCTCAAACACAGCCAAACAGAGTGCATGCATTGAATGAGTGACAAACAGAGCAGTTGAATAATCAAATAGAATACTTTCAACGGCGCTTCTTCAGTTCCTTTTCATTTATGGGAGCATTTGAAAGAGCTGTATAGAGTTTATCGAGATAGCTTCTAGGTATAGATTTATATACATGGGTTTGAAAAAAGTGCTTAAGTCCTTATGTCATAAGTTTAACAACAAAGTTAATTGGAATCAGCTAAGAACAATTTATGCTGACAAGCAGTACGAAAAATCTTATTAAAATAAGTTGAAAATAACTTATGAGACTCGTAAGCTATTTTATATAAGCCGTTTATGAGTTCTTCCAAATAGGTCCAGAAAGAATTCATATAAAAAGAACTTATTGAATAATCCCTTAATTAAGCTGTATTCCAAATTGCACCTCTTCAACTTCTTTGTTGAGAGTTGGTGAAATAAAAGTCAGAGGAAAAAAATAACAAATCGTTGAATCATGTCATTTGTATAGGCGACAGTGCAAAACCAGATTCATCCATCACGGTAAGATTCAAACTCATTTGAGATCCATCATATACAAATTAATAACTAATTGAATCGACAATTATAATATCAATTAGCTGTGAAAATCATTAATTAATGAACAAAGCATGAAGAAATAGAGACGATAAACGTCGTTCACGAACTCACCGCGTTTTGGGGTTACCGGCGACTGCACCGTCTTCGAAAGTGGAACAATACTTTCCGTTTTGACTAGACAAAAAATTTTTATTTTTTTCAAAAGAAAAAATAACCGATAAAGAAATTAGATGAGAAATAAGAATGGATTATATTTACCTCTGATTTGGATTTGGAAAAGAAACTGAGTACTCATAACATAGTAATGTTTTCTCGTTTCTCCTCCTCCTGTTTGTGCAGAAATTTCTGCTTTTTCAAGCTTCAGCTTTTCATCAAAAAGGTTGTTCTTAAATTTTAAAATTGATTTTTTTTTTACAGTTTAGTTGTTCTTTTGTATAATTTTCTTGATTTAAATTTTTTTATATTTAATTTGTATGTTTTAAATTATTTAAATTCTCTTACATCATAATTTTATCAAATAATTAATAAAAATATAACATACTTTTATATTGTATAAATTTATAAAAAAATATTTAAAGAAAAAACATGTATACAATGAAATGAAAGTCATAATCTCTCTCTCTATATATATTATGAATTATTTAAATAAATGATAAATCACGTTTTTTTTTATATTTTTAATAATTATTGATTAAAATTTTAAGATAACAAATATATTAAAAGATTATGAGTATTAAATGTAATAAAATTAGAGAGATAAAATTACATATAAATTAGGATATTAGAAATACACATGCAATAATAGCTAAAGTTGGAATTTAAATATTTCATTTTACATTAGTTCAAGTGAAAACATTATAAAATATAAATTGCAAGTTTTCTTCATTAAATTTTAATAAAAAAATTTTAACTTTTGATGTAATGTTGGTATAGAAGATTTTAAAAAATGGTGGAAAAAAGGCACGAACAAAGGAACAACCTAGCCTTGATTTGAAATGTTCTTGAGTTTTACAAAATGGTGAAAAAAAGGCACCATCTAAGGAATAACATAGCCTGGATTTTGTTTATATTATGCCCATTTTCTATCAATTGATAAGCAAAAGAGAACCACATTACAAAAGCTAACTACTGTAATTACAAGCCATTGGTTTGCAGAATTCTTGAGTAGCGTGATGAATTTTAGCAACTTCAAGTCCCAACTCAGCTTGCTTTGCTGAAACCTCTCTAAGCTGCAATAACAAGATATATGCTGCAGTAATGAAATGAAATACTATTTGTTATGAAAAACTATATTTGCTTAGTTCATGATTGAACAACAAAATTCAATTTGAGAATATTATATTGGAAGGTATTGTATATGTTGAAATCATCCCACTATAAAGTGTACCTCTCTTTGTAAGGCCTGTGCTTATGCAATTTTGCATGAACTGAATTGGACCATAGGCTAAGCCACTTGATTTGGAAAAAGAGCCACAAGCAAGCTTCAGGGAACGCCAGGGACATCAATTCTGAGAGATGTAGACAGTAGTAGTTTTTTTGAAAAATGTTACTATATTATCATGTCTCAATTCACTCGCTACAAAACTCTAACTCACATTCAATAATATCAACAAATCTGAAATTTATTCAATTAATTTCAAAGTTCCGATTAAGGCAATAACTTAGAAAGAAATAGATGAAAGAGGAGGAACTAAAGAAGTTCAGAGAAAATAGACGATAAAAAATAAGAAACAACAATTTATCTATTTACCTTTAGTTAACATGATAAAACTAAAAAAAAAAGTCATAAATTTTTACAATTATTAACTATTTCACTAATCGATCTTACCTATTCATTTTATATTTAAAAATATTCTTAGCTTACACATAATTACACTTTACTTATTAAAAATCATTACTTTCTTTAAATTTCACTTCATGCAACCAATGAGACGACGTTAGAATTACGCATTTTTTTTCATGGTTTACCTCGTCTTTCCAGACAGGCTTTGTCAATAGCTTATTTTTGCCACCAAAGATATGACTAAACCTCTTAAACAGATGCTTTGGTTCACAGATACTGATAGTTTATTCTTCTATGTGCTTCATTATCTTTAGTGCCTCCTCCGGATTAAGCAACATTGTCTCCATCATTTCATATATCTACAAGGGACATGACCATTATTTTTTTTTCTTGGACAGAAATTACTACAAAATAGTTGCAGATGAAAATTCTCAAGAGCCCAGTATCATCATAATCAGCTACATTTCAAACTAATTATTTATCATCCTTGTGTGCACACTGGCTGAGTTAGTCAGGACAAAGTTTCATAAATTTTGATCATTCCCAAGTTTCCCTTCATGTGTTTAATGGCTCTCCAGAAAGCTGGATGAAGCAGTATTGGAGTTCACTCCCTTACTTATACTTCGACCATTTCTTTAAGAAGCAAATTTTTGGTATTAGAAGGACTTATAATATTGTCTTCCTTAAGGTGAGAATCGATATCAGAGATGTATAAAAAGGATATTGGGAGCTGCTATATGACTACATAAATTAGTCACCTTGGTGTATTGTTTATCAACTTTCTCGTGGAAACTGTTGTTTTGACAAGTGGCAACAACGTACTCCTTCTCATCGAACCATTTTGAGAAGTCAACGTTACCAGACAGCATAGGTTCAGCAATTACAAATCCTAAATCGAACAGTGTAATTAAGACCAGAGATTATTATTAGAAAGATATGAGAATGATACAATCACTGTCAATACTTGTTTCCAACATATTTAAATACCTTGTGCTAATTTTTTTTTAATCTTTCTTTGTCACATAATCTATTTTATCACTTTTTCCCCCTCATCCTATATTTAGTGTAACAAAAATTATAATAACATTTCACATTACATCTCACTCCGTATTTCACTAGGTTTAACTTTGTACAGATCTAAAAATTGTCTTCACGTCATCTGGGATTATTGCGTATAATTATTAACCAGTATAAGCATTTAAAAGCGAAGCTTTTTAAAAATAAACTAATAATAATCCTGTAATAATAACATTTATAAGAACTATATTAAGTTTAATAATTTTCAACATAAAAATACAAAAGGTATTTATTCAGTTTAAATAATTGTGTAATATGCAATTAATTTCAAAATGCATTATCCGTTCAAGGATATTTTATTAATATTTGAGGAGAAAAAAAAGATTGCATGTTTCGAAATAAGACCTTGTATACTGTATATATGCTTTCACCAGATTCATCAGAAATGTCCAACTCTCCGCTTCAATACCCAGGTATCAAATTCGCACCAACACCACAACCTAAGTTAATTTCACTAAACAAAATCTAAACCATCGATTTTGCAATGTTCAGTACTCAAAAAATGAGCATAGTTGTAAGTGAAAAAATTATTTAAAAATTTGACCTAAAGCATATTGTGACATTAACATGCTAATAAATAGAAAGTAAAATGTTCATGCAAAAAACCTAGGTTTAGGGTATTACCAATCGCTAGAAACCGATTTCAACTAGAATTTAGGAAAAAGAAAAGTTTAGCATGCCGTCTCATTATATGTATTTTGCTTACAATGATAAATACAGAATGACCCCAAAATGTTAGCGAAATATTTAATTAATTTAACATAATATAAAAAAAACAACATAATGTGTAATTAATAACTGAAGTGTTTCCAAGTCGGAGAGGATTATCCTGCCAATATATTATAATAAGAGTTCAATATGTTGCTAAGCTATTTAAAGTTATTTCATCAAAATTATGTAACAAATGCTCGTATAACAAGGGCATATTAGATAAACAAGTTAAATACCCAAACACATTCTCCACGGACAGCAAGTTAAGGTAATATTGAACGCGAAAGAAAAGATTAATAGGAAACAAGTTTTATTAAATATTGTTTTTACAGTCAAAGCAGTTCGAGCATCCTGGAAGAAGTTGTACAACTACGAGACATCACAAATTTTTTTTGGAAAACTAAACAGGCTCAGGACAATAAGAGAATTATAACAAGGAGATGTAAAATTTTAAAAACTAATCACAATCCATTTGAAAGAAAATAACCCCTTTGAAAACTATAAAACTAGTTTCCATGCCAAGTAAAATAACATCTAAACTGAATAAAAACAAACTTCATCAAACCTAAAACTGCAAAATTAAAACATGTCTACAGCAATCTCAAAAAGTATTACTTAAGCTAGTCAAAAAGACTGAAACCCATGTCATCATCAGACTCTTCCGCTGGCTCTTCCTTCTTCTCCTCTTCCTTGGCAGCAGCAGCTGGGCCAGCACCAGAATCGGCAGCAGGAGCAGCAACAGCAGCCACAGCAAATTTGCTTGGATCCTGCATTTAACATAACAATTCATAAACAACCAAGTTGAAAAATACATAAAAACAACTTCGGCAGCAGATCATCAAAATGTCAAAAGGCAATACCTTGAGGTACTCTTTAACCTTGTCTGCCTCAGGGAAAGAGTAATCTGTCTCAACTGCGAGAGCAAGGACATTCTTGTAGGCGTTCACAAACATATGCGGTGCAGCTGCAAGTGTTGGGTACGAGACGGCCAATGAAAGAGAAGTAACCATTGAGACACCAACAGCAAACTTCTCAACGAGGTCATCCTCGGTAAGATCAAGAACCTCTGGGCTAAAAACTGACCCATTATCATACACTGACAGAACAACAAGGCCATATGAGAAGGGCCTTATGCCAAGCTTGGCCAGCAAAGCGGCTTCAGAAGAGCCCACTTTGTCTCCCTTCTTAATGAGTTCGACCGGGGTTATAATTTCTACCGTTCCCTTGTTAATTTTGGTGGGAATATTAAGCACCTGAATCACAGAGAACAAATAAATATAAACACGCATCCACAACCACAACAAGAATATTCAATTTACAAAAGAACAAGATCATCCACTCACCTGGAAGAAAGAGGTCTGAGAGGGATCAAGTCCTGTGTTTCCTGGAGGAACAACAACGTCAATTGGAGCAACCAAACCAACACGAGCTGGTGCTCCCACCTGTTCACATTAAATAATAGGCTGTTTGAGTTTGAGAATAATTAATTAAATTGAAAATTAAGCACACAACATGGTGCAAAACACAGCAGCATTACCATCATTAAAGGCACAATGAAAATTCATTAACAGTGGAAAAATCACTTCACCTTGTACTTAGCAACCTCCTCGCTAACCTCTTTCAAGTCACCCTTAGTGAAAATCAATCCAACATTGCCCTAATTCATAAAAAAAAAAAAAGAGCATAAGCCTCAAATCGCTAGCACGAAACAACAATATCAAAATTTGACAAAGCAATGCCAAAATGAGTAGCATTATAGAGAAAGAAACTCACGACAAGGAGGGGGATAAGACTGAGATAGACATCATTGCCGGTTTTCTCTGCGTGCATGCGAACAGAGCGCTTCATCATAGTGTTCTTCCCCATGAGGACGATTGAATCACCACGGAGACCCTTGCGGATGTTCTGGAGTTGGTTGGATCCGACATTGTCAGCATTGACGACGAGGATCTGAGTGTAGTCATCAAGGAGTTGGCACAGCTTGGAATCGTAAGCGACCTTCTTCTCTGCCTTGGTAAGTTTCCCCATTGTTGATGTTTCTAGGTTAGGGTTTTGAGAAGGCAAAAATGGAGGTTCAAGACGAAGTGCTCGGACAGCAATACGGTGCCGTCTCTTAAACCTTTGCTTTGAATTTATATAAAATTCCCAAACATAACGTGAACCAGGGTTTTGGGGAGAGCAAGATCCAAGGCCCAATGGGCTTCAGTATTAATTTGATAAAATTTTTTGTGAAACTTGCAATGAATTAACTATGATTCTATAAATAACATTTAATTCATTGAAAATGTTGTTTTTAAATTTTAAATTTTAAATTAGAATTTTTTTTAGTTTAATTCATTATTTCAATTTTTATATTTATTTTTCATTATTTTTAATCATGAAAATTAAGTTTCTTGCATCAAAATTTTTTTAACCAACAAATATATGTAAAATTAATCACATTATAACATTAATATAACATCATATAATATATTAACTACACTATAATTTGAAATTCATAATTATAAATAAATTGATAAATAAAGTCATAATTTAATTTAAATTTTTATTTGTTTATTTATATAATATTCATCTGTTATTGTGATTTTAAATGCATATACAATTTTATTTGTTTATTTTTTTTAGAAATTTATTTTGAACCAACAAATAATGTAAAGTAAACTTCAAGTCTACATTATAGCATTAATATAGCATATAAAATGCATAATTATATTATTAGATATAAAATGATAATTTTATTTTAAATTTCTACTTTTATGTGTTGATTTATGTAAAATATTATCAGTTATTGTAATTGAAATATATATTTACAATTTTATTCTTAATCATTTTTATTTAAGATAATATTTTAAACTTACAATGTATTTACAAGCTATGTAGCAAATATATGTAAAAGGAAGGACTTGATTGTGTTGTGAACTTGAAAGCGTATACAAAATAATGGGACTACTTATCTTTCAAACAGATAGGAATTGGATTTGCTGGCCAATGCAAAAATGAGCGGAGAGTAACCAAAGCAGAGAAATGAATTCTCCACCTTTACCAAGTTGTTGAACATGGTTAATGGAACTGCAATTTAATGCTGCATATGATAGCAACTCCAACCACACTTGGGCAATGATTTTCCATTTGTGGGTCCTCTCTAAATCGTTCAAAACATCAACCAAATCCTTAGCGATTCCAATTGAAAACAAAGAAGCATCAAAGAAACTTGTCTCTGGTATTTCATAGTCTTCTTTCTGATGTAATAAATCATCAAGTTTGTTGCTTGCCACCTTTTGCTTGTGGCTCTTTTTCCTTGTATCTTTTGAAAAGAAGGGGAAGAACTTTTCAGTGAAGGGAAGGGTTTTATCGTCTGCCATTTCATTAATGCTCTTGTGATGGTGAAAGAAATAATCCCTGAAAAAATCACAACTTCTTTTCCATTTTTCTTCAAATCCAATACCCATAACAGCAGACATCATCGTAGGTTGCCGGAGTAAAAGATATAGCATGTAATCAGATAGAACCATACTAAAATCACGATGAAGCTTAGCTTGTTGAGCATTTTCATGATCAACATTACCACTCCTTTGCTCAACATCAACATCAACAGCAACAGCAACATCATCAGCATAGAATAGGAGGTTAGTGGCAATGTGCCAATTAAGAATGGTGTCAGTAAAAGAAATTTGATCGCTTAGTACTGTTGTTAACACTTCTAGCTTCTCTGGATCTTTTTGCAATGTTTCATCCTCTAGGATAATCCACATACCTCTAGAGGAGCGAAGTCTAACCATTTCAGGTATTGGATCAAGTTGAAGCTTCTTATATTTTATTTGTAGCTGCCTGAAGATGAATATCCAAAGATCTTGTGGAACTGGATTTTTCTCCTCATGTGTCCAGTGTTCTAGCCCTCTTGCTCCAATGCAAGTAATAGTTTTCTCTATCCAACGATTCCTTTTATGTAGACAGTAAGATATAAAGTTCAATCCTGAAATGGATTCAGACCATCTACGACACCATATTTGCCTGCACAATATTTTCTCGTGCCCTACCCACTTTGGTCTCCTGAGCTTGAGGAAACTTTTGAAAATATAGTCTGCTACTTTTCTAATGAACCCCTTTTTCTGAGAATCAAGACTATTGAAGGATGCAAAGGTGTGATCAGAGAAGATGAGCATAAAAAAAGACACCACATCTAAGGCCACAGCACCATACAACAAGGTATAGGTGACTTTGACATCAAACTCATTGCAACCATGCTTTTGGTCAAAGATAAACAGCACTAAGGCTGCAACAACACAACAAATTGACACAAATCGGAGAATAAATCCTACCTTACTGTGCACCAACAATGCCTTGGTATAGAAAGCTTCATACATGAAGTTGAGTTCAACCTCTATCAATCTCAAAGCATCCATTGCTGTTAGTTCTTCAAAATATTCACTGACGGGAACAATAGTAGGGTAGTTGATGCTTGTGTCAACGGTGAGGCCTTTGAATTTGTTGAACAAGAAAAATGCTCGGCTTACCACATCTACATCATCTAATTGTTCTTTCTTTTGCCAAGTTTGGTTTGATGAGGTGTCAATTTGACCATCATCCTTCTTAAGGGGGAATTTCTTCTCGAGTTCTTTAATAGACTCTTCTATTGTTTTTGTGTCTTGGTAACTAGACATGGATCTTTCTTGGAAGTTGCTAATACTAGCAAGTTGAAGAGAACGAGTCCTCTCACTAAACTTGATGGTCCCTGCAAGGAAAATGAGTGCTGTCGGAAGCCAAAAAGTGTTTGTAGGGAGTGTTAAGAGGAAAACATAACCGGTTAAGCACACTTGAACCATAAGGCCAAGCATGTGCCTAAGCCACAGTTCATTGTCCTCCAAAGAAAAAGCAGTGATGGTGTCAGGGCCACCCAAGTGCATCAATAGAAAGGGTGCCCAAAATGCAATCAACAAGCCATTGGCGTCGGAGTCGTCTTCTTCATCTCCATATTTGTTAGAGATGAGTCCAACGCCAAAGTTAGCAGTGTAATCTGCAAAAAGGTATGTAAACCACACCAACACAAGCACTACGGCATTTCTAGTGCGTTTTCTAAATGGTGTTAAGAAAATGAGAGTAATCTGCAAGAAGAGACTAGTGAGAACAACACCCCGGATATCCCACTTGGACCATATGTTCTTCACGAACTCTGGGATAGGATTCACCATTTTTTTGTTCTCTCTCTCTCTCTCTCTCTCTTTCACACACACACACACACTTTCTTTTTCAATCTTTTAGGTAGATGCATGCATGAAATGAAAGTTCAACTTTCTTCACGTTTGTGTTGAAACACTTGTGTTAGACCATATATATAAATACGAGTGCATGTAGTGACAAAAGATTTTCATGGAATGACCCCAAATTAACGTTCTTCATGGCATTGTTCCTTTCTTTACTTTCTCTAGAGAAAGATTCAGTGGAAAGAAGTGTTAACAATTAAGAACCTGATTCTATGAAAATTATCCAAAGCGTTTGACAACATGCATGCAAAACACGTTCATTGTCAATAATTGATTTCAAGACTACTTTTGTTCAGTTGTTGAAGTAGGTAAAGTAATTAATCATCTCTGCCGATATTTCTAATAAATTAAATTATCTCTCCAGATTCACACAACAAGCTTTGTTAATTAGATACAAAATATGCAGTATTAGCTAGCTAATCGAGTAGTGTAAAGGTATTTTAAATCAAAGTAATTTTAAAAAAAATAAAGATATATTACATGATTATGTGATTAGATTATATATATATATATATATATATATATATATATATATATATATATATATATATATGGTCCAATACTTCTTTCTATTTCATCATTCATCTTATTTCATACTTCTCTTATCTTTTTAATTGAAAAATATGATGATAATTTACAAATGTAATACATAGTTATATTATACGAGAAGCTGAGAGGGCAATGACATATGAGTAAAGCAAACTTTGTCGGAAGCATCATCCCTTTACCCTTGACAAGTTTCAATATCCTTTTGTCCTCTGCAGGTGCGGTATCTAATACTAATAATATCCAAGGAAACAACGAAGGAACTTAAGGAAGGTAGCTAGATAAAAACCGTCAAAGAACTATGACATATATAAATATTCTTTCACTCAAAATAAGTTTCCACCTTATATATTTTCCATTTTTAAAAAACAAAATACAAATATGTAATTGATATTACATGAAAGTATACATTGACCCATTAACATATCCTTTAGAAAAATTATATGACTTTTAATTGGGGCCTTTCACTTTATTTTATTTTATTCCAAGAAACAATTACTTCAATAAGAAGAACAAACCTATAATTAAGACAAAAAAAATAGTAATTTTTCTGTGTACTATGTGGATATCATTAGATTAAATTATTTTAAATAATAATTAAAAATATTATATGAATATTTTAAAATTTATTAATTTTTATAAATTTTTAAAAAGTAAATATAATATCAATAACAACAACAACAATAATAATAATAATTAAAGTGTTAAATTAAATAAATTTTAAAAAAATTATGAAAAAATTAAAATTAAATTTAAAAATAAAGTAAACTATAAAAAAACTAATATCTAAAAACATTCCCATTTAAAATTATTCCTAAAAATACTCTCGTTCTTGTTCAAATATTAGTATTCCTAATTTATATATAAAATTTGATTAAAACCTATATAGTAAACAATAAAAAAAAATGAAAATCAGTAATAACTCAGAACAGAGAAAAAGCAATGTCTCATTCCAATTTAATTCATTTACTGAATACAGACTTTCCTTCAAATCAAAAGTCCAGAGAACCAAGCCAATTACAAGCTTCTTATCAGACTTACGGACATGAATTTCCTATCAAACATTATGTCCAATGCATGTGGATGTAAACCATATTTGATGAATGTAAACAATCATTTTATAAGGGGATAGTGATTAAGTGTACCTCAGCTTTTACGGAAACTTTACTACTACATCTACAATTAAATCGGCTCCCAACAAGCAAAATTGAATAACCACCCAATGCCTTTTTTAATTATACCCTACAGCAAGGAAGAAGCTTAATTATTATCATATGTTTATAGCCGATGCACCACATTTTCATTTTCTATATAGAAAATAGAGAATCTAAAAATTAATAATAGCAATATTTTGTTAATATAATGAATGTGTTTTTTTAATTAAGAAAATTACTATTTTTAAATGTTTAAGCTCAACTCTAAAAACTGATATTAACAAAATCTTAAAAAATAAAATTAATTAAGATTTTACAAGAAAATAAAATGTTATATAATATTTTACAAGATCTATCAAGTTAGAATCTTAGTGCTAGGGTAGTAGAACATCAAGCAAGAAAAATAAGCTCCTCTTTACTCTTATGATAATAATAATAATAATAATAATAATAATATTTGATATAGTGTATCTTCAATGAGCCAAATAACAAACATTGTCACAAAGCTAATATGTGAATTTAGTGGTTGAATTGATTAGTGTATATACAAAGACACTCCAATATTCAAGTAAATATTTATATTAATAGAGTAACAGTAGAAATCACATACTTTATTAGGTAAAATGTTACTAGTTATACAATGCATGTGTGCAAGTGATGTATAGCCATGATATAGTAACAAGCCCACATGTGTCAACATAGCATAACTGTCCAAAATTTTATCGTCATCATGACAATAAGCTTGAACCATGGTTGTGATCTTTTGTAGTGAATGTGTACGGTAGACACAAATATTTATTGAGCTACAAAAAAAAATGAGTTGGTCCAATACGGGAATAAGTTATCATGTACAACCATGACAAGCTAGGCCAAAGTGGATTGCCCATGTCAATATCCATCATATCACCTAAACACGTAAAGGTCAGCTAAGTGAATATCAAGATATTCTAGACAAACACAAGGAGCTCACTCCAAAAGATAAACACAAATAAACTGGGAAAAAAGAACATAAATTCCCCAAATTTCTATGATTTTGAAGTAGTAAGATCGAGCTTGAGTCACCGCTGTCATGAAAGAAACTTGCTGGATTGTCCTCAAATTGCTTGAGCTATCCTAAGAAACCACTCTATATGTGACTACACTCATCAAAATTCACACAAACACACTAATTTGAATAAGATCATCATCAATTAGCCGCAATGAAAAGCAAGAGATGTTGCTTTTGTTCAATCAAATGCTACCAATGGCAAGAGAAGAATGAAAACCCTCACTCAAAAATTCAAAAATTCAATCAAATTTTGAGGAAGAAGGGGTGAAGTAAAAGACCTGCCTCCTGGTCGAAAACTGAAACTTGTCTTCGAATAAAAATTGAACTAAGCTCTTCTTCTTTTTAGCTTGTAACCTTGTGCATTCCAACTCCTTGCTTCAAAGTTCAGCAAATTAGGCAAAAATCGAGCACAACTTTGGATTTGGAGAATTGGAATCAGGGTTTGTATGATTTGGATAAGATTTGAGAGTGTTCAGAGAATTGGGATTAGGGTTCCTATGACTTTGGGTAAGATTTGGGAGTATTTTTAGGGTCAGCACTAATTCATGGATATCTCCACCCTAATCAACATATAATGTGCTAAATAATTTAGGACCTAATTAATTTTTTTTAACTAATATAGGAGTTAATCTGGATGGATTATTTCAAGGTTAGGTAGGGCTGGTTCCACGGCTTTGGCTATTTTTAACAGCTCTAATTACTTACAATGAAACCGAACACAGAATGATGCCTTTTTTAAAAGCCTTACCTTGTCCATGATGCCTTTCGGCTTCATAGGTAAAGATATGTAATATTATCCCATGAAATTTCAAATTATTATGTGTCCAAGTAACAAAAGGTAAAAGAAGAATAACTGGTAAACTTGCTCTTGCAACAATTGGCAACGAAACTTTAATTTCTTAGAATCACAAATATCAGCCACATTAATTCTTCTCACGGACTTATGTGTCTTCTATGATCTAAAGACTAACATGACCAACATTTATAGTTCATAAGGTAAGGTTTTTGCGTTATCATGGACAATATATCGTTCCCAAATTTCCCAGGAATAAATATGAAAATTTACTAAAAAAATACTACAGAAAAATTCACCTGTGTGAGCTTATCCAATTACACAAAGCATGAAGCAGTTTGATAATAACAACATATCTTAATCATCGTAAGCAAAATTATAAGTTACTGATTGAATTCAACATACAAATTTCTCTTAAATGATATTAAAGGAACCAATTGGTTACATGAGTCGACCAACATAGGTAGCTCGAGGATATTGCTGTTGCAGTTGTGGCCACTGAACAAAAAGTTGATTAGCCATCCGCAACTTGTACAGGAGCAGGCCACTCAAGGAGAGCCTTCTCACTCTTGCAATACTCTCAACGTAGAAAATTGAAGACCATCTGATTCCCAGTATCTACAGAGAAGCTTAAACAAATTCAGTAGCATCATAAATTATCAAATAAAGTGGACAAATGAAATTCAGGAAACGATAGCAGAAAAATTAAGGGAATATGAACCTTAAATATGAATGCGATTGCACATAGGGGAATGCAAGTTCCAGGTCCATTGCAAAGTATCTGGTTATTTGAAATGCAGAGAATTACCTTAACTTGTAACTAAGTAAAATTAATGATAGAAGCAAATAATGATAGACATGGTACCACTTCAGGTCTAATTTTAATCATTAGCCATAGTGCATGCCCCATTGCAATTAAGGTAGTCCAAATTGAGGTTATATATGATTGACCAACTTCCCTACTCCGATATATCTTCATGAACTGTGCAGTATTAGTAACGCTTGTTGCATTCTACAGTAAAATCTATTTCTGATCAGAATCTGTAAACCAGTGACACCAAGCAGAAGTAAAATTAAGAACCCATCAAACTCCAACAAAAGTTCACATATTGCACCTATGCCAATAGAAGAAAATAGAAAACAGAAAAGGTCAAGTTTGATAAATAAATATTTATCTATTTCTCTGAAACTGGAAAAAGTTGAAGATTAGCAACCAGGAAGAATGGCAGAAATAAGCGAAGAAACTACTGGCACCAATAATAACATTCAATAAAAAAAAACTGCTTTTGACAAGAATTTATAATTTGAAAATAATTTCCATCAAAGTTGATAGCATCCAATTAAAGACTACAAACTTCTTGTGACAATTAAGTATTAGATGTCTAGATAAACACTCCTGCAAAATACCTACAAGGGATCAAGCATCAACAGATTGAAGAAATGGTGGTAGTCACATTTGTAATCATAAGCCCAGTCCAATTCTTACCACATCCAAAATATACAGCACTTCAGCCAATATACTATATCCCCTAAAAAAGGATTTCCATGGAATCTCCTCTATTAATTTCCCTATAATTATCAAATGTCAAAAAAGACAAATTGTTTAGCACATATTGTTACAGTCATTAACATACATCATTAAAAGTTGATCCATTAACTGCAATAAAGATGCACATGTCAACATCTATCCAACCTTATATTGCAGAACCCCTCCCCTCCACACACACACCCCAAAAAAAAAAATGTAGAACCTCAGCAGCCAGGGAGTTCTCCAACAACTGAGCTTTTTGAAGACTCATATTATCAGTAGCAGCAGCAACGTAGAATCTTGGATGAAATCTATCTTTTTGTAATACTGCCAAAAGATTAAGCATCTCAGCAGTATGGCCACCTACAGCAGAATTAAACCAAAAGTTGATGAATTGCCACGAAATGTTTTGATATGGATGAAAAAGGAAAAGTAAGCTCCAACCTGATCCTAAAATAATAAGTGTACTAACAGGTTTCAAAGCTCTTTTTCTCAAGGGCCTGCTGCTGAAATTAATGACATAAAGGACCCGAACCAAGATCAAGGTGACAACAAAAATGACACTTGAAAAGATAGCAATCGAAGACACACTAGAGAAGCTGCAGCCACTGCCTTTCTCCATCAGAAGTAGCCTACGTTGACAACTTCACTACAGAATTCAGGAGAAAATCGACACAGTAGATGGATTAGTGTCATAAGCATATATGCATACTCACAAGTACATAACTACATATTTTCAGGAGATGCATTGATAGAACAAACAAACTGCATAAAAGACTAGATTTTATATTAGCACATGCAAGACACTAGCCTTGGGCAGAAACAGAAATTATAAAAAAGTGACATTATTTGTTTTTCTTTGTGTTATATATGAAGTTAAAACTTGATGCATGATGTTAACATATCAGATTACCCATCCTAGCACATTACGATCCCCATTAATAATCCCAGCCACTATGCACTCCACCCCCTCCCCCCGACCACTTGACCCACCTGCAATTTATTTATGAGAAAAAAAAACACAAACACACACTGAGAAGATCTTTATCGCAACAATAGTATAATTATGATAATTCATTGGGATATTTCTTTACCACTAACTAATGAACTGTAAACTTAATAGATCTTATTGCATATAATGGGTAAATATTTACTATCTAGTATTGCATCCAGTTTCAAGTTGATACAATCGATGGAAAATAGGGGCGGCAATAAAGACCCCTATGCTATCTGAGAAAAAGACACATGTCAACCCCAAAAACTTAGAAGACCTCAAAATAAAAAATAATAATAGTAATTGATTTGAAAAGCTTGATAAGGAAAGGTGACAGAATAATTAAAGAATGCAAATAATTAACCAGATCCCAGGCATTGATATCTCCTTAAGTATGGTTAACACCATCCCCTTCATATTAGAACCTTTGCATCTGGATTTTCTTTTACAGAAAATTGGCAACCAAATCATTTGAAATCTAGATGGCAAGTTGGTATGCATGTTGTCTAGTACCCATAACTCCAACGGTGGCACTGAAGCCTCATCAAACCAAATTTTTAATCAAAATTCGTTCTCCCATATGTTCACTCATATTCATCAAATAAAAAATTTAGTGTAAACAAACACTTGATTCTAGAGAAAGACATGATATAGCAACTAATTGAATGCTTCAATGTTTTAAATGCACCACTAATTAGTGATTTTTTATTAATGCTAGAAAGAGTTGTTGATATGTAACATTACTGCTTCCATGACCCCATTAATTGCAGTGTCGGTACGCTATAATTGTGATATATTAAGAAGCTTCGGAGGATTCCATGCCAAGGCATACTTAATCATCCTTTAGTCTATTAGCCAAATAGAAATAGAGATTGTTATATTACCTCTTGTCTTTGAAAATGAACACAAACTCAGGATTACTTGAAGTTAACCGCTAATGATCTCAAAATGAAAGGATCATCTCAGAGAATAAAGATTAAAATGACAAATATCATCTGAGTAAGAGATGAAAACACCATGAGCAGACATGTAAGAGAGTGTAAAACAATCCCTTGGAACAAATAAGAATTAGAAATCTGATCAACAAATAAGAAAGGTGAGAGAACCATACTTTAACTACACCTACAAAACATGTGAGAAAGAGAGATAATGGAGAATTTAAACACTACGAATAAGCAAAGCAGAGAGACTGAGGATTAGAGTTCGTCCCAGAAGAAGACAAGTAATATGGAATTAGGGAAGGAGATAGCTAGGCAAACTACGATCAAAGGAGGACGCTCAGATGTTGTTTCTTAATAGTTGGTGATTTGGACCAATCCATCCTTTATTTTAACAAAAAAAAAAAAGAAGGAAAGGGGTAAACAAACGATTGGGCCAGTGTAGTCATCCAACATTAAGAGCGCGTTTGGATTCACATTCAAATAGTCATTGATCCACATTTACTTCAATACCAATAGTTGTAACCTTTGCGTTAGATTTAAAACATCAAAAACCTTCCCAAAGCATGTTCCGAAAATTGAATTTCGGAGTTGCAAAATGAAGCTTTCAGATTATAATTTTCGGAATCGATTTCAAGCTATTGCCAGAATATGAGTTTGGAAACTGCATCTCGAGAAGTAACGAAAATGAATGAACACAGTAACGACCATACCTTGACTGAGAGATTGAATCTCACGCCCGCAGTCGCCGGAGGGAAGAAATCGGCAACGATAGTCGCCGTCGCCGGAATGAGGGAAAGTAACCGGTTAAAATCAACGTTGCTTATTGAGACAAGGGTTCCTTTTCACATGTAAGCGCCTCTTTTACGTTTTCATTTACCTTGATATTATTATTTTATAATTTTACTTTAGATAAATATTTTAAGAATTAATGTCTTATTGAGTTACGAAATTTTTGTTTTTAATTTTTAAACAATATTACTTAATGTTAATTTTATTTAAAGTTTCGATATAATATTTTAATGAAAACTAATTACTTTTAAAATAAATTGAATTTTAAAATTAATATAATTTAATGCTAATTAATAATTATAATATGTCATAATTAAAATAATTTATTTTAATTATTTTATAAAATTTATGTATTTTAATTTATTATAATTAAATATTTATTATTAGTAACAAAAATATCTAATTATAAGTCTTAACAATAAAGTTTTATCAAATTTTTAATAATTATTATGGTTTGGACATTAAGTAATTATATTAGTCTATTTTACTTTTTTTTTTTCATATGCAACTTATACCTTTATTGATGAAATTGTGTTACATGTGTGAAAAAACTTTTTTTATTATTAAGATATTTAATTTACTCATGTAGATATTAGTTATTTTTACGCTAAGTAGTAATACTTTAAGCTTTTAACTGTTTTATTTTATGAATAAATTAATTTTTTTTATTCTTTTATTTATTTTTAGATTTTGTTAACATCAATTTTTATGATCGAGAATAAACAGTTAATAATAATAAAATTTGATTAAAATATATTTTTATAATTTTAATATAATAATTGTGTATTTTTTTTTTTAAATTTTTATTTGTATATACTTAAACTCAATTTTAAAGAGTGGAAGTTAACAAAATTTTTTATTTTTTAGGTTAAAATAACATGTTTAAGCTGATTTTTCCGGCCATGCGACATTCTTTATCACTTTGCATGATTTAGCCAATATTTTTGTTTCTTTTATTCTATTGTTCTTTGACAACAAGTAACCCTACAAAAAGAAAAAGTGATTACAAAGGAGTAACCAACTGATTTGCCAATTCAGATAGCTAGCAGCTGTTCCATATTAATAGGAGCAATGTATTTTGGAGTTCCATTGAAAATTTCATTCACAAAGATGCGAGTAGCTGCCTCTGTAGGATGGTATGGATCCCAGAAAATATGGTCTTCTCTGTTTGAACACATTTTCGAAATTGGTAGACATGGAAATTGGGCATTCAGCTCACCAATTCCACAACATGCAGATTTCACATCCACAAATCCTGAAAAGGGGATACAAAGTCCTTTAAAACTATTGTCCTCCTCAACTCAATCTAAGCAATTTTCTAAACTTAATGTGTGTATATATATATATATGTGTATGTATGTATATGTTCTATAAATTAAAATTTACTAGTAACATGCGATCAATGGTAGTAATTAGTTTTTATTACATGAAATCAATGTTTAGGCTAATTATAATGTAAAGAGATATAAGACAATGTGATAATACCATAAGAAGTTGGATTCTGAATGAGTTCTTGAACAGATGCATAAGTATCAAAGTATGAGTAACTTATATCCTTGTTGTCCAATTGCCATTCCTTTAACATGGATTTAAGGCCTTCATTATATTTTAATGGCAAGTAATTGGCTTCTGAAGCGCATTCTGTTTTGTTCTTGAGCCTGAATGAGGGGCAACATCCAATTGCACCAACACCAGTAATTTCAAATTTCTTTGCACCATTGTTGTATAATCTCTGCCAAAAATTTATCATACCAAAATTAAAATAACAATTCTATTTCTCTGTCATAGTTTTACAACTTTTTTTCACAATGTTTTTCTTCTATATCAGTTATTAAAATGCATGGAAATAATACAAGTTTTTAGGTTTGACCCTTGTAAGCTCATAAGCTTGACCATAGAAGTGTTATGTAACTAGTTAATTTATACAATCCCAATTTACAACTATTATTTTTACCTGTAATTGCACTTTCAATGAGGAAATCATGGAATCTGCATACTGTTGTGGGGTGCTTTTCTTTTGAAGATCCTTTGAGGCCAAGTAACCAAAGATATCATTGCTGCCAATTACAACAAAGAAGATGGATTTTGAGAGATGATTCTGAAGATTAGATGCTCCTATTTGTTGTGTAAGTTGTTGATGCACTTGGGAATAGTAGTCCACTTGCTTTGTCAATGGTATTGTCTGCTTCTGCAAGAAATGTCACCAAAGGAGATAGTTCAGTTGGAGGAAAATTATAATTTTGAGCTTTTGGAACAAACACTATTACTTTGAGTAATTTTTCTTTTAATATTTTGTTCTTGATCTATTACTTTTTTATTTTTATTTTGTCAAACTTGGTCAATTACTTCTGTTTTAGGTTCTTGTCACAATTGTGGAGCCCATTTCATTAAACTAATTCCTTTTCTTTTTGGTGGTCCATCTTAGAACATATTTTTAAAGACTTTTTTGCACTGCAGTCACTTATTCATCCCTATTTTCTATAATTTTTTTTTCTATTTATCTTGTTACGTCAACTATCTCATTTCACACTAATTCTCTTTTTCTTCCTATCTTTATCTTTGATATATGACTTTTTTTTATAAAAATTTTAGACCAAACTTTTTTAGTTAATTAAATTTATCTATTTTTAAAATTATATAAATTTTATCTATTAATATTTTTTATACTTAAAGTTCTCACTTTTTGTTTTCTATCCATTTTTAGGGGGTTATAATGAAATTGAAACTCGAAATAATTTAAAGATTTTAAAAGTAAGAAATTTAGTAAAATTTAATATAACTTAAAGGATTTTATAAGATATGTATTAGGATTTGAAGAGGGAAATTTAGATATTTTTATTTTTGGAGAAATTTAATATTTTGGTCAGTTAGTTTTAAATGAAAGACAATTTAACTGATGGAATTTGTAAACATATTAAATACAAAATTGAGAATTAAGATTTTTAAATAAATAAATGAACGAGGAATAACATGATTAAATTTAAAAAATAAAAATAATTATTAGTTCTAAAAAAATTAAAAGACTAAAATCACACATAATATAAATTTAAAGAGAAAAAGAAAGGACTAATCAATGAAATAATTAGTTTGTAACAACTACACTTACTACATCCAAGCCATTAAATATACCAGCACCTCCTGATGCAAAGTTAACACCACCCAAGAAGGTTACGTTCTTCTTCTTGTTGATCTTAGATACTAAGGAGAGATAAGGTGGTGAAGTGGGTAGGCCCAATTTTTCAGCTGCCACCAAACTATTCATATTAGCAAAACACAATTTCTATTACGATTATCAATATGCATGCCTCAATAAAATTAAGTTAAAATAGCAATAAGTCAATGACATTAACATTGTGGTCCTTTATGTAGAATACAAGTTTGCTTTGCCCACAACCTCTTGTCTAATCATAAAAGAAAAGAAAAACTGAAAAATATTGTCAATCTTTCCCACCTTTCTATAAACAAGATGTCTTCAAGGACCAGGATTCTAAATTATATACACTTCTCTGAAGCCAATGCATGATAACATTTATGACTGATTCCTATGTTGATGTCCCTTTCATGCCTTTTTTGGATCCACCCCATCAACCATGATTCTTAATTGAGAAAACATTGAAGAAAAAATGGACTATATATTGCTTAATGTTTGCTAAAAATCTGTCCATGGCAGATACTTCGGGTATGTTCAAATTTTTGTTACAGTTTCATGTAATCGAATTTTTTCAATAAAATGGATGATTATAGGGTACGAGACCTTAGTTTAAATAAGAAAAGTGACATTCACAGAGTTTAATACATGGAAGAAGAGAAGCTAATGATGAGATTATAGCAAAAGAAGATAAAAAATAGACCAAAATGTTACTTTGAAGATTAACATCTTCAAAGGTGTTTACATAAAACATATGATTGTGTGAATGTTTGAAGAGAAAACATAGTCAAATTTTAATTTGAATCACTTACCTATTAAATCTGCAGCATTCTTGCCATTGCTAAATCTCCCATTCGGTTTCTTAGTTGGAAAATCAATGCCATAGTGAGGAAGAGTCGCCCTTTCGAGGGAAAGACTCAAGTAATTGTTGTTGCCGACATCAACAAGTGAGTCTCCAAACACGTAAACAGCTGGAGCCTTTTGAGCCTCAGTGAGTCCTATGCTCATGAAAATGAAGAAAGAGATAAAGAGAAAGGAATCCCCCATCAAAATTATGTTGCCCATATTGGAATTGATGTGTTTGCTAGGAATTGGCCCTTCTCTTCATATGTGGTGTGGAGGCAGAGAAGTTGGTGAGAGCTTTAAAGATGCAAAAATCAAAAACTTGACAAGTGTAAAAGGTATGTGTGAAAAAAAGAATTTGATTGAAGGCTTTGAGTATTGGCTATATTCTCCATGCATTTAATGTCTCCCCACTCTAGTTCATATTGTATTTTCTTACAATTGGTGATGGGCACAATTATAAATTGTCATTGTCCACAGGAAAAAAAATCTTTGTAATTTGTATGCTGCTGAAGTCAATAAGCAATGTTCTTAATTATCATTAAGTTAATCCAATCTTTTAGTTAACATGTCCTAAACATAATTGTTTGTAAATTTTAATGTTGTGTGATCTTTTTTGTGGATGGTAATCCCTTAAGTACATAGAGCAGTTAAAGCACTCCATGCAATCACGTGATACATTAAATCAATTGACCAAAGTTGGCCAAAAGTTAAGTGAGATTCGCAGATACTTGAAGTATTTTCTACCTTTTCTTAATTTCTTTGTGGTTTAATTGAATTGGGGTGACAACCTGAGACCACAATGTTAAAATATCTAGAAATCCAACCCAAAAGGGAAATGCTAACTTGTGCTCTAAACCACTAGAACCTAAAGTAAAAGTTCAATATTAAAAAAAAAAAATCATCATATTTAATATTTTTTGAGTAATTAAAATATGTTTAAAGTGACAGATTTTATACTGTAATTAAAAATTTGAATACAAAATATTAATTTTAAGAGTTTGGTAAACATTAATGTTTTAAGGACAGATGCTATATGGATATAAAAAACATTGAACTATTTTCAATATTTTTTTAAAACTTTATATTCTAGACCAAACTCTCATTTTCATATGGGGTATAAAAACAAACATGGAGATATGAGAACCCATGATGGGACCAACCAATTAATCACTGGCCAATGGCATTTAGAGTGGAAAACTTTCTAATTAATGTTTGATTTCCCTTGCAAAGTGTCATCTATTGACCCTTTTTGTTGCTGTAATTCAATTAAAGTAGGAACATTTTTAGTCTCACCATGAAGAAAAAGGATTGGTATAGAGCAAAAACTGCCAAAGGTGGATCCATAACGAGTCAGACAAGTCACTCTCAATGTTTGTTTTTACACGGCATAACATCAAACATTTCATACTCTATTCAAAGACGTTGAAAGATATAACATAAATGGCATTTCTACTACAAACTATACTTCTAAAGTATTAAAATATTGTAATTTATTTTTCTTTAAACTTTTATTTTTATTTTTTCATTAGGCATGTGATATGTTGCTTTGAGAAAATAATAATTTTTGTCGACCCTTTTGTTCATAATTCATATTTAATGTTCATTTTAGAGGATAAATTAAGTATTTATTCAAAAACTAATAAAATACTATATTATATCGTAGATAGATAAGGTTTATATATTAAGAAAATAGTTTAAATAAGATAGAAGAAAATTAGAAATTATTTTTAATATTTTTTATAAATTTTTCTGATGACCTTTTAAAAATATTTAAACATTCTATTAAGTTTTATTTGATGTGAAGTGTTTGGTTGACTATAAGAACAAATAATCAATACGATATACGGTTTAAATAGTTCCAAAATTCGGAAGATGTCACTACACTTTCATCACTGTGATTATTATTTTTAAATTTAAGCGCAGATATATTTTAAAAAGCTACCCACTTCTATATTATATTATAGATAAAAATTTACCATTTAAAATTATCACATATACATTTTATAATTAAAAATGATTAATAATTATATATTAATTATGTTATTTTTTGTTATAATAAGTTTATTTTAACTTAATTAAGTATTTGATATCAATAAAAATTATATAATTTTAACTTAATTCTTATAAAAAATTAAAATATGTTTTCTAATTTTTTTTTATACATTATTGATTTTAACATTTTTAGTCTGCCTGATTGTACAAATTGTGTAATTTTTGTTGGGGTTAAATTTACGCTAATTTTATCCTAAATTTTAAAGATTAAAATTATTATTTAACTTTCTTTTATTGTCTTATATATATTTTTTATTTTTTCTAAATATTTATTTTTATATTTATAAAAATTATATATTTTTAAAATTTAGAACTTACTTTTACAATCTTATCTTTATATTTCTATTATTTTAAAATAAATTATATTTTAAAATTATTTAAACATAATTAATTAATAAATTTTAATTATTTTAAAATATTTTATTTTAAAATAATAGTTTTATCATATAATATAAAAAAATTATTTAAACATCAACTATATTGATACATTAATTTTTATCAAGCTAAAATATATTATTGCAAATAATATCATAAATTTGTTTTAATTGAAAGGTAATATAATTATTTAATTGAATGATTAAAAATTAAAACAAACTCCAGCGTTTCACAATTTCATTACATGTGGATCAGTTGGATACAAGTCATTATCGTATTTTAAACTAAGAAAACGATTAATAACTTCTGAGATCTGACCATGTGAATACACTTTCATTATCCTTTAATTTTAAACTTAACCTTTTTATTTTTAATTAAATTAAAAAAATTGTTGTCTATATTATTTAGCCTCTCATCCAAACAAAACAATATTGACATTTAAAATTCAACAAAAAATGGTTTTCTCTTTACTTTGAATCTATATTTTAAATGATTCATAATACCAAATAAAATATTTTAAAATTATTTATTTATTTTTTATACTTTCAGGTTTTCGATTTTACAAGCTGGGTCATGAACTTTATTTTAAAGAATCACATTTTTATTTTTAATTTTCTGACTCATTTTGGAAACGAATATTTTTAAAAAATTAATATTTTTTATCTTTTAATTAGTTATTCAATTTTTTAAATTTTTTTAACTAATATTAGATATGATAAAATAGAAGTAGTTTTCCCTTAATATATTTTAATATTTTATTTATGTTTAAATATAATATAAGAATACGGCGTTAAACAAAGCAATGCTTAAATCTAGCGTGAGTGTTTGCTTCGTTGAATCGTCACCGAGTCGTAGTTGCATTTGCAGGATCGAATCAGATTTCAAATGGTGAGTGCACTGCACTTCTCTTTGCATTTCATTTATATCTATTCACTTCGATTCATGTCATGTCTTCAATTTCTGAGTTTTGAAACCCAATCAGATCTACCCTTAGCTACAATTAGAATCGGTTCCTATGTGCTTTAGTTCTGGATCGTAATTCTCCGTCTTTGAATAACTTTATGTTCGTTCGTTGGACACTTTAGTCAATTTTGGTACACACGAGTTGAAATAGTTCGTGTTGATTTTGGATTCATGCCAAGCTTATGCTAGATTATTCTTACTTAGTAGATTTCCGCCTAGATTTGGGTTGAGTAATTATCAATGTTAGAAACGAATTAGGTTTAATTCAATTTCAAAAGTTAGTTCAGGAGTTGAAGATTGTGTGAGACTTACAAGGAGTATCTTGGATGTATTTCTGGTTAATGTGAGACATCTTAACGATCATGATCACTCATGGCCTGATTTGATTAATATATCAATGGGGAGAGGAAATTTGGAACGAAAAAAAATTGTTTGGAGGAGTCCAATTTTTCCACTTTCCTCTTTGGTATATTTGAATACAAGAAAGAAAGAGGGGGCGAGCGAGCCTTGACATAATGGTAAAGTTGTCACTGGTTCAAATAATAGAAGCGGCTTGTTTGCTACCAAGGATAAAATTGTGTACATTTACCCTCTTCAGATCATGTTAAGTAGGAGCCTTGTGTACTGGTTTCTTTCACAAGGAAGAAACAAACCACGTTTGTCAATGTTGCACCCTGTTTCATTTAGGGCTTTTGAATTTTTTGGTGATTAAATGTGTAAATAAGCTTAAGTCTATAATTTAAACCATATGTCTATACTCATACTCTACAGGCTTTTTGGTTTGGAGTTCTTACTTGCTTGTGTGTGTCCTAAAGTATGCTGCTAAATCCATATTTCTTGCAAAGAATTTACCAAACTGATGATAGATGTGGCCTTGCTGATTGAGTCAAACTATAAATCAACCGTTTTTGTACTAGTCAGATCTGTCAGGCCATACATAGTGGGAGAGTTTGTCATTGTTCTTTCATATTTAATCGAAAAATAGACAACTTTATGATGGTAGGAATAGGATCCTTTTCCCTATTGTAATTAGGATACTCTAAGTAACTGTAATACTTGAATACAAGACTTTTTCATTGCTAGTCATAAAATGCATGATATATATATTTCTAATGTGAGTAAACATGCTTCATTGCTCTGCTATGTAGATTCACTTTGTGCTGCTTGTTAGTCGTCAAGGGAAGGTGCGACTGACAAAATGGTACTCACCTTATTCTCAGAAAGAAAGAAGTAAGGTAACTCCTAGAAGTTTTTATTAATCCTTTTTCCTCATTTGATTTATAACATAGTGGTTGAAAATTTTGTAAGATCCTCAGTCCCTTATTTATATGTGAAATTGTTGGATGTTGAACATGGTATACTTTTTCCTCTGATTTTTGTTTACATTTTTGTATTGCTTTGGCAATGATGGTATTATCATGACTATTGCATGTTGACTATTTCCTTGACCATTTAAACAAAAAGTTACCTTTGTTTTGAACTTTATTCCTTCACACTTTAAAGGACTTTAGTACTATGTTCTTATTTTTCACAGGTGATGGTGATTGTGTGAGTAAACTGTGGCATTATTGATCATGGTTTTCTTTAATTTTGGTTTTTTTAGTATTTATATCTGTAGTATAAATTGTTTAATTTGAATTATAATATTTAAAATAGCACCCATTCCACTTCTTGCTAGCATGCCACTATTTGGGCTTGATAACTATGATTTATTTTTTAAAGGTAATCCGTGAGCTTAGTGGAATGATTCTTTCTCGTGCTCCCAAGCTGTGCAATTTTGTAGAATGGAGAGGATATAAAGTTGTTTATAAAAGGTATTGTACTGGATAGACCGCAGCTTTTTGTCATATATTGTGAACTCCTTTTCTTGGGTTGGAACCCTTCTGTCTGTTGTAGTAATTAGTTAAGTCTATACTAATGGCTGTCTGATGCAGATATGCTAGTCTCTTTTTCTGCATGTGTATAGATCAAGATGACAATGAACTAGAAATCCTCGAAATAATTCATTATTTTGTGGAGATTCTTGATCGACATTTTGGCAGTGTGAGTTCTCTCATAAGCTTTGACTTTTGAAAGGCACTACATGATTAACTGTAAAAATACTCCCATATTTTTTGTTAGGATCTTCATGACTTTTATGATGAATGTTTCATGTTTTTCAGGTCTGTGAACTGGACTTAATATTCAACTTTCACAAGGTATGTTCACAGATTGTGGGCTATGATGTTCAAAATTTGAAAAAGGGACTACTTCTTTTCCTTTTGGTTATTCCCATTATAGATGTTTATGTTAAAACGCTCTACATCGGCTAAGAATAGAATGAGATTGATGGCCCTCAACAAAATGGGCCTCCGTTGAAAACATACCATCGGAGGAAGGGTAAGATAGTAAGGGGGAGGAAGTGTTTATGCAGGATCATAGCAAACTGCATAACATACTGCAAACGTGGCAAGAGGAGAGAGATGCGTAAATCAGGCCAGGGGAGGGAATATTTGAGGGAATGGAAGGTTGGGAGGAAGGATAGGAATCATTTTGGGCATTCTGGGGGTGGCTGTTGCCACAAGGTAGTCACCAATTCTTTGATATCTATCTTACTGTTTTGCATTTTTTTCTTTTTCGGTTGTCTACTTGTAACCAGGGTTAATCCCTGAATTTTGCTTTAGTTCAATAACAAGAGCAGTACCTATCAGAGTACTCCTTATAAGACTTCATCAAACCTCCTCCAATGAGTTAGTTTTTAGTAGTAAGTTAGGTTTACTTTTCTAATATGGTATCAGGGTGTATTTAGTTAAAATATTGGACTGTTTATAGTTGTCAAGTCCTACAAACATCACGCATCAAATGTCTAATTTTGGGTGTGAAGGGGATGTGGCCAAAATATTCTTTATAGGACTTGAGCAAACCTGCTCTAATGAGCCTGCTTTTAGGAGTAAATTAAGCCTAGCTTTTTAATAGTTTCTTCCAATGTAGATCCACTTTGAATTAGCTTTGATAATTGATTGTATTGAGTGCTGATTTGTTTTGGTGAAGATCGCTTCTGATGTGTTATTTGTTTTTTTTTGAACATTGAGGAAGGCCTACTATATACTAGATGAAATTCTGATTGCTGGTGAGCTTCAAGAGTCGAGCAAGAAAACAGTTGCTCGACTGATAGCTGCACAGGTATGAAATAATCTAGAAAACATGGATAACAACACGTTTTCTTTTGTTTGGTTGAAAAGAAAATGAAGAGAAAAAGAAATTTAACTTTTAAAAATAAAATTTCAAATTCTCTCCTCCCATTTTCCCTTCAATTTAATTTTCTTCCTCTCAACCAAACGGGGGACAAATCTTTTGCTGGGCAGTTTCTTTCTTGGATGTTATTGTTGAATGCATTTTTCATTTAATACTGGCTTCCAGGATTCATTGGTGGAGACTGCAAAGGAGGAAGCCAGTTCGATAAGTAATATAATTGCACAAGTCACAAACTAAGGAGAACAAATGTTACAGTTTCCTGAAAATATATTATCTCTATGTCCCATTTTTATGGTTATTAAGTTGAAATTTGGATATCTTTATCTTTTGTTTTTTGGTCAAGGGATGATCTTTATTTAAGTTGCCTCTTGCGAATGACGACCACATATCATGTTCGTATTGTATATGCCTGAACTGTCTACTACTTGTGGGGACCCATTCGCTTCTTTAAAAAGTTTGAAAATTGATAAACATGGAAAAACATATTTAAAAACTACAAAAGAAAAAACTGTAAAAGGAAGATAGGGATTGATTGTCGGTCACGAGAAATCTAAAACACTAGGAAAATCTTCATCAATTGGTTAAGAGTAAATCATACAAGCAAATTAAATATTACATTCAACCTAAAACCTAGAGATATTAAGTGTATGAATCCTCACCATTTATATGTCGTGTAATTTATTGAGTGTAGGACTTCTAACTCGCACTAAATCCTCTCAACATTGACTAGTTCCCTGATGTCTAGCATCTTACTAATTGTTAAGTGCCTCCTTTTCTAATGCCATTATAGTCAACTCTAAAAATGAGAGTATGATAAGATCAATTTTTAGCAAAGATAGATTTCTACTTTTTGAGGCAACGGATCACAAAGATCCAGTCGAGGTCTCAAGCTTTGTTGGTTTCGACTTTTTTCCTCCATACACCTGCAAAAGTTTCATGCTTCCGTTCTAGACAGTCATTAACCGATACATTGAACGAGCGCTTAAAATTATACATATGGTTAATTTAGCTTTAAAATTACATGAAAAGACATTTTAGTCTTTAAATTTATTAAACATTTGGTTTAGTCCCAAATGTAACAAAAAAAAAAATATTATAATCTCTGAAATTATAAAAATATGAACTAAAATAATCAAAATTTGATAATTTTAGAGACTAATATAACATTTGAAAAATTAAAGAATCGAATAAGTTGACCAGTAATCATAAAATTATGGGTTAACTTTGTATATCACTCAGGATGGTACAATTTGAGCGTAGGCGCTGCTAAAGGTGAGGGGCACTCGCAGGGAGTTGGTGCCTTGTTGAATCTTGTACCGGCTTGGCAGTTTGGATATTTCATCAATGGATTAAATTTAGCGCCTATTGTAATACCCTCTAACTTTCAAAAGTGATTTTAAATTTAATAAGTAAATATCTATTAGCCATGGTATTTCTGCTTAATAAATTGTTTACTTTTCTCAATACATACACAGAGTCCTAGAACCGGCGTATGTTCAAACCACACGCTTGTAGAGGAGAGCCAAAAAGCTAAGACCAATTTGTCTAATTTGCTCCTGGCAATCATAATTTCAATTGGTCCTTCAGAAATTTCTTAAAGCTATCTTCTGTGTTTCCTCTGTAGGGCATAACCTTCAATGTAGAACAGAGAACAAAAACTTTGAATGGATATAACAGCTTAAGAATCTCTGGGTCCCTATCAAAATCCTGCCAAGAGGAAATAATTAAAGGGCAGTGAATCTAGATACAAACATATATATATGTGATTCAATACATTCACCAGAACTATAATGTGAGAAGTATGTCAACCAACCTTTTCAGTTATTACAACAGTTGGTTTGGAACCAAACTTCCCCTCTAGTTCTATAAGTTTGGCTATGATCATCTCAATATCCTGGATTAATTGAGAATTTAATAATAGCATCTTAGTCTATATGAAAATAATCCATGTGAAAATTCAAAATAAATAATTTGATAGCAGCATTCAATATGATCCTTATGCAGTTTTCTAGAAAACCATGGTCAGTTTTAACAGAACAGCAGCAAAAAGAACCCACAACGGCTGTAAATGGAGAGTTGAAATAAAATAGTATGTCATCATTCAACAAATCATTTCTTCCAAACACAGGAGGAGAGATAAATTTACCCTGGCATGGAATATGTGATGATCACTGAAATCTATTCGATCAACATAAAGTGCTCCCATCTGCATCAAATTATCTGCAATTTAGAGATCAGATAATAAATGCAGACAGGAGTAAGGTAGAAAGAAAGTGAAATTCCGATAAGTGCTATACAACATTATATATAGATAACATGGCAAACAAAGGGCTTGGTGTGCGTCACTCATCACGTCTGGGACACCCATTTATCCCTTACCATCTTCCTGCTCCACAGACATTGATCCTTTTTCTAGTATATTTGACTATAATATAAATTAGACAGTTGTGACATGCATCTCACCCACTTAGGTAAGTATTTCATTGTCTGTTATTGATTTCTTGTGCTTGCACTAAATCCAATGGAAAGAAATTTTACATTTCTATGTTTTAGATAAAATGGTTGATAAGCCTTGACGTGTTAAAATGAAACAGTGAGTCGATATGTTTGTGTCTAGATTAGTTTCCAATGATGGTCATAAAAAATAAATTTCATTTGGATAAGGAGAGATTAATAAGGATTAAGGAGGAATACCTTTTGAATCTGCTTCACAAAAGGCTCTGCAGAACCAATAGCAGAAATGCATAATATAGTAGCTTCGTGAAGAGCTGTCAATGGTATTTTGACATCAATAATTCCCACCTCAAATAAGTAAGTTGGATCCATTTTTGTTAAGAAAATAGGAACCGACTTTTTAATTCCTAGCACCATTGCTTCAATATCCTTGAGATTATCCTCAGCAATCTGTTCTCCCAAAGTACAATTTCAGTATTATCCATGATTTTATAACTCCACAAACCCACGTCACTTAAATGAGCAAATCCACACTGATGAAAGAAAAACTTGCCTACCAAGTCAGCATGATGGATTACAACTACATCTGCTCGTCTAAGTGCAGTCAAAGGTTCCCTTAAAGGTCCAAGCGGCATTAATTGAAGGTTACCCCATAGAGTTAATCCATTGACCATTACAATATCCAAGTCACGCCACAAACTCCAATGCTACCTTACATATAAAAAATATGGTTTAGAGCAAATGCCCTGTCAAAGTAAAAGAATCCTAATTTTAAGCTTTTATGTCACTAGCAGCAAAGCAGAAATAATGAAATGAGAATGAACATAACTAATGGAGCAGATCTCAGTTGCAGAACAAGGTGGTATTTTCTCTCATTTCAGGATCATCATTAAGAAACAAAATCACGAAATAGAAGAAAAAGGAGGGGTGGGAGTAGGAGTTGCATTACCTGCATTGCATCATCAAGAACTACAACCCCAATTTTCTCTGAATCAAGAAAATCCTGGACCTTCCAATCAAGGTTTTGTTTCCCATACCATGAACTCTTACAAATATCAATGTAACCATATTTTTGGATAAAATGACTCGCAACAACAGCTCGATTAGCACCAACACCTATCTTAGTTGGTGTCCCACGTAAATGCCTCCGGAGCATGTTGACTTCATCCCCACCACCATAACCCTGCCACGAGAAGAAATGCAATAACCAAGCTAGGCAACGTCAACTAAAACATGAAAAAAACAGACAGTAACTTCTTCAGTTTGAATTTGAAATGAAGGGTGCAATATCTTCCATTACTTACGAGCATGAAAAATAAGAAAATCAGTCATCAATCATAACCAAAGGTCATTATTCTCACATGAAGAGCTACACACTTTAGCCAACATAACATTTCACTGATTAACAAAATCATCAAACTAGGTTAATCATTTCCACCTTTAAAACAGCTAATTATTAACTAATAACTATAAAAAAATATAACAATTTATCCATGTGAATGTCCATTTGTTAATAATCACTTGTTTTTCGAAAACACTTCTAGAAATCTATTAAAAATAATAATAAATTTTCATCAAAAATCACTTATCCACATGTGAATTTAGTGTGTTTGAATCCACTTCAAACCACTGTAAATTTACATTTACTTCAACACTATTAGCCACAGATTATGCCTTAAATCCATGTTTCCAGTTTTTCTAGTTCTTTCTCAAGTCACACTTACTTTTAGTAAGAATGATACAAATCCCAAAGAAAAATAGAATACCCTGGAAAGAACAAGGGGTGAAATTCCTGAATTGGAAAAGCAGAGAGCGATGAACTCCACCATCGGCGTCTTCCCATTGCCTCCCCAAGTCAAATTCCCAACGCTGATCACAGGAACTGGCAAACTAAACGCACAACAGCAACTCAACAACGGTAATTTCCCCCTTTTTTTTCCTTTTAATTTTCCAAGCAACCAAACAAACAGAAAGAAAATTGAAACAGTTAATTAATTAGTTAGTTACCGGTGGATTTGAAAGAAATGATGTTGATAAAGAGAGTGGCGAAGAAAGAGAGAGAATCTGTAGAGAGTTGAGGCAATGGAAAGGAAAGGGAAGAGAGAGAGGTGAAGTGAAGGCAGCTTATAGAGATTGGGATTGTGAGTGTAAGCAATCTCATTCACCATTCTTCTCAATTTCTCCATCAAAATTGTAACTTTCTTCTTCTTCTTCTTCTTCTTCTTCTTAAATTCAATGTTAAGAACCCTTTTAGCCTCAAATCTGCCCTAGATGCCTTCCATGCTCAAGATTTAATTAGAATTTCATTGTTTAATATTCAAAATATAGTTTTCTTTTACCTACTTTAAGAAATAAAATAATAATAACTTTTTATTAAAATTATAATTTTTAATATCATTACTACATTGAATTTATTATATATAAATTTGTACAGATAAAATGTAAGACAATAGTTTAGAACTATTTGACATGATAATTTATTTTGTAGAGATTTTGTGTAAAATAAATTATTTTCAATGTGTTTTATTTTTAAAAATTGTTATGTTTCTAATTTTTATACTTTTATTTTGATTTTAATATTTGTTTATAAAGTAAATTTTATATAAAAAAGTACATTTTAATTCTTTTTATTAAGTTACATGTTAATTCTTGTACATATGTTTATTATACTTTTATGTTTAAATTATATGCATATAATTGTACATCTTTTATTAGTTTTGTCATACTTTTTATTCCTTTTATTTAAAATTTTTATTTTTTGTTTAATTAAATTTTTAGATCATTAATTAGTTATAATATGTTTTAATAATACTATATGCGTATGTTTTATTATACTTTTTTTTGGTTATTTTAACTCATTCAAATAACATATATTTTAAATCTTTTTCTTATTTTACTTTGTTTTCTTTAAATTTTTTTCTCTTTATTTTATCTCTCTTTCAACTACTTTATTAATTCCTAAACCATGCAACTATAAGCCCTCAAAGTTGGACATTGAGATATATAATAAATAAAATAAAATAATAATTTTATATTTAGTTATAAGAAATAAATTAAAATAATTTCATTGACTATTGAAGAACCTATTTTATTGGGGGAAAAGTAAATTCAATTGTGTTTGGTTAGAGAACACAACCATAGCTCTTGAAAATGGCCAATGCACTCAACTTGTCTTCCGTTGTAGTAGAGATGGACTCTTCACTCTTGAGTGAGACTTGAAAATTTCTTTGATTTGACTGAAATATCAATAGCTTCACTTCCCTCATCTTAATTTATCTTTCAAATTCAATTCGGAGAGTGGATTTAGGTTTTATTTTAATTTAAATTTGGGTGATGCTTTTCTAACTTTATGTATTAATAAATTATATTTTATATATCCTCATATCATATTTATATTAAAATTATTCGTTTAAAATCATGTCATAAAATAATTATTTATATTTTATTAATTTTAATTAAAAAGTTGAAAAAATAAATTATTATTATTTATATACTTATCATAACATCTCAATTTTATATTTTAATTCTATACATATGATTAAAAACTATAATTAAAATTTATTTTAATATTATATATATATACCAATGTTTTTAATAAATAAATGTATTTTTAATTTTTTTACCATACATCTAAGAACATAAAAAGAAACTTATTTATATATAATTGTAAAAGAAAAATTATATATAATTTAATGTATTAAAAATTAATTAAAATATTAAATGTTATAATCTTAAATTTAATTAATTAATTATTATGGAGTATCTTAAAATAAATATTGTTATTTTTAACTTGGTTTTCTGAATATATTTATTGGGGTATTAAAGGGTACATTATCGAAAAAGTTAAAAAAGAAAGAAAATGACGTAACATCCGGGCAGCAAGCAGAGGTGCACGCAAGCCAATCTGGGCAGCGGGCAGCAGAACGCGCAGTTTTCAGTGTTCAGAGCCTAACGACAAAAGAAAGAGTAATCAATATTTGTTAGGCATTACCCCACTCACCCGAGCCTCAGCTGCCACGTCCGGCGCCCAGCCTCGGAGCCGAGCCTCTCCAAAGAGTCAGAGCTGCGCACCCTCGAAAAACCACGGGAAAGAGAACAGAACAAAGCAAAGCAAGAGAGAGAAAAACGAACCCATTTTAGAGAGAGAAATCGGTGGATTTCTAGAGAGAGAAGTTAGGGCGCGATGGTTCAGATCGCGAAGAGGAAGAAGGGACGGCCGTCGAAGGCGGATCTGGCACGCCGCGCCGGCGAGTCTCCGGCGACTGCATCGCAGCCCGATCTCCGCCGAAGCCTCCGCCGCCGGAGCGTGAGGTACAACATCATCGACTACGACGACGATTACCTCGACGACGAGGAGGATGAGAGGAAACGCGAGAAGAAGAAGCTCAAGTTGATGGCGAAGCTGAACCAGGGCGAAGAAGAAGAGGAGCGAGAAGAAAACGAGTCGGCACCGAGTCGCACTCGCGCCGAGTCGCGTGCGGACCACGCGCCACTAGAAGAAGAAGACGACGACGATGAAAATGAACAAGAGGAAGATAATGAAGACGCCGAAGAAGAGCACGAAGAAGACGAAGACGTTGTGGTAATGGATTCCGCCAAAGCAGTGTGTGTTAGTGTCACTGAGATTCTCGTTTGGTGTGATAACAGATTGGTCCATAAACCTTCTCTCTCTAGATTTCTCTGTCTGTGTCGGGATAGGGAGAGAGAGAGATTAACTAACAAGTCAACTGTCAAAAACTTCCACGCACAGAATCTCTCTCTCTCTCTCTCTCTCTCTATATATATATATATATATATATATATATGTCTCTGTCTCTGTATTGTTTGTGTCTCCATCGCACTCTCTATTATAAATACAAGTGATGAGTGAAGTATTTGGCCTTTGGACGCTATTAATTGTGTGTGTGTTTGTTTGTTTCTAATGATGACAGGTAAAGGGCAGAAAAGTGGATTCGGAAGGGCTCCACTCTGTTTCTGTTTCGGTTTCAGGTTCGTATGATTTTTAATGGGGTACTTGTTGTGGTTGGGGGTGCAAATTTTTTTTAAATTTATATTTATATTTATAATGTAATGTATAATTTGAAAAGGGAAAAGTGATGAGTACTGAAAGGGTACTAGTGTTTTTTCTTCTGTATCGGCCATTGTGTGTTTTTATCAAATTGCTTTTTTATTTTTGATTCTTTTTTACTGTTACTCTGTTAGGAATTCCTGCGATTCCGCAATCTGGGATTCCGTTGCCTGATAAGAGGACTCTGGAATTGATCCTTGACAAGCTTCAGAAGTATGTGTTCTCATTTCCCATTTCTCAGTGTTTTTGGGTTTTGGTTTTTGGTTTTGGGATGATGATGCGAGTGATACCATAGGGTGCATGTTTTTGGGTACAATTTTGTTTTCTGACTTGGGGACGTTGTGGGGTCTGAATGATGGCAGGAAGGACACGTATGGTGTGTTTGCAGAGCCTGTTGATCCGGAAGAGGTGTGTCCAATTTTCTTCCTGTGAGTTGGTAATCTTGCTTTTGGAAGACACCCCTGAGTTGGAAGTTCAAATTCTGTTTTGACATGCAGCTTCCTGATTATCATGATGTGATCGAGCATCCCATGGACTTTGCCACCGTGAGGAGGAAGTTGGCAAATGGATCTTATCCTACCTTAGAACAATTTGAGGTGTGCAAACTTGTCTCAGCTGGCCATGATTGGAGCTTTCCTTTTTGTTTTAAGATTTTAATTGCTTTTGCAATGTGGTGTTGGATTTGGATGTTGATTGTGCTCTTCTACTTAGATATTATTTGTAAGTGTTTGAACTTGAGACACATGCGATGCTTAGACTTGAGAGCTGAGATGGGGGTTGTTAGCAACAGTTGGGCTCTTGTTGTTAGTACTTACCTTGTAAATAAAAAAAAAGAAGGAAATTGGAACGGCTAATTTCCAGATTTATTCAGCTTCTTGTGATGCTTGAAGCCTTGAACAAGTCTTTCTGCAGTATATAGACAATATGTGCTGCATATTTTAATTTCTTATTGGTTGATGCATCACTCCTTGTTTATTGTATTGTTAGAATGAAGTCTGTCAGGTTTTTGCTAATATATGCTGAAAATGGCATGCTACACAGTAGTTGTTTGTGTGTTTTTGAGGTTTTCATGGATAATATCTGTAAGAGTATAATATGGATGGCATTGTATGAGATTCAATGTGTCATATGATTGTGTTTGTTTTTGTTTACCCATGGCTTTCATCCTGGTGATTAATTGACTTTAGGCAAAAGGATGTGTAAGTAACTAGAAAGGATCTACATTAACCTAGAAGGTGGAAGAAAATATTTTGATTACGTGTTTGATTGTAACTTGCTTGATTGGTGTTGAATTGTGATGGTCCAACACTCAACGTAACTTGCTGTTTAACATTGGAGTTTATCTCTTAGGGATGTGGAACCTTCAAACTTTTTATTCTCATCATGTGATATTGCTTAAATTATTTTAATGAGCACGAGTTCCCTAAACATTTTCTTGTAAAAAATGTTGTCTAATATTGTCAACAATACCATCTTCCTCTATTTATGTTTTTCTTTGTTCATTGCCTTCCACTTAGATAAATAATATCATAATTCTAAAAAGCAAACAATATTTCGCATATGGTTTCTGTTTCTGGCCTCTTGTTCTTCATAGGTATTATTACTCAGGTGGTACTAATGTCTGAAAGGATGTGATAGAGTAGATTATTAATCTTGATTTTCTAGGAAAGCTGAGGTAGTTTCTCTTTGGCAATTTACAAGAGAAAAATGTAGTTGAAGATTTCCCTGAGAAAATAGTTCATACTTCACAAAGTACTATAATTTATGCTGGTGTTAATCGGCATTGGGGAAACACTAATATGTCATGGTTTCTATTTACTTGCTGTTTACTACTCAAAAGGGGACCCTTTTTAAGAAGAAAAAAAAAAAGAGGCTAGGGTAGAAGAAATTGATTTCTTTAGTTTGTTTGTCTCTCTGACTACTAGTGTGGCTTTTCTTTGTACTGACAATTTATAAATGCATTTTAATCTATTGCAACTATGATGCATGATATTCAAGAAATGTGAAAATGAAGTGGCTTGTCTGCTAATAGATCCTTCTATTACAAAATTTTCCGGAATGTTGTTTTCTCTATCATCAAAACTGTGCATTAATTATTCTTCATGATTGAGCAAAAATTGAAAGACAGGATTTTACTGAAATTATTGACTCACGCGTGAAATTGTCAAATGCAGAGTGATGTATTTTTAATTTGCTCAAATGCAATGCAGTACAATGCACCAGAGACTATATACCACAAACAGGTATAGCTCAATGCTTCCCTGTGTCCCCCTGCCAACAAATGTGACATCCGTAATTGTTTTGTTGTGCTTATGTTTTGACTCTATTGTTAAAGGCACGATCAATACAAGAACTTGGGCGGAAAAAGTTTGACAAGTTAAGGATTGAATTTGATCCCTCTCAGATTGAGCTGAAATCCGAACAAAAACCACGATCTAATTCTTTGGTTAAGAAGCAAGCAAGGAAGCCACTGGCACTGGCACGTGCCTCACATGAACCTGTTGGCTCCGATTTCTCATCAGGGGCAACTCTTGCTACTATTGGAGATGTACAGCCGACTTCTCATCCAATGCAAGGTGGTAGCTATGAGAGACCTGGAAACATTGATGGTATTTTGGAGGGAAATCCTTTCTGGATTGATGGAAATCAAGAGAAAGCTGAAGATGTTTTGTCAGGTATATCAGTAGCATGATCATGCTGTATCTTTTTCTTCTGTTACAGTTGCCCTCATTATTCACGTTTGAACATACTTTTAAAGTGGGATTCTAATGTCAAAGTATAGTCATTCCATTTTGATTTTATTGCTTATATTGTTTCAGGTAAGGGTCTGCCCTCTAAGTGGGGAAGGAAGTCATTTGTGCTTGATGAAAGTCGTCGTGCTTCTTACAATATGTCTAATCAACCATTTGCTAGATCGGATTCAATATTTATGACTTTTGAGAGTGAAATGAAGCATCTGGTGACTGTATGTATCAGAAAAAGTGAATTCAAACTCTTAAATTTATGGGTTTGTATTACTCATATTGTCAAATCTTAAAAAGTATAATTTGTATGTTTTTTTTATACAGGTTGGACTTCATGCAGAACATTCCTATGCTAGGAGTTTGGCTCGTTTTAGTGCATCTCTAGGACCTATTGCTTGGAAAATTGCTTCCCACAGGATTCAGCACGCACTGCCAGCTGGCTGTAAATATGGTCGTGGTTGGGTTGGAGAGTATGAACCGCTTCCAACCCCAATATTAATGCTTGATAATAGTGTCCTAAAAGAAACCAGTTTGGTTCCAAAATTGCATTCTGGTACTAAATTACAAATTGACAAAAATTGTAATAATGTGGAACCCAGCATTAAACATACTGATAAAGGACAGATGCTTGAGGGCAAACAATCTTCGATTTGTCCTGCCACTGGGCCTGATTCCAAAGGAAAACCTTTGGTTGGTTCTGCTCGAGTAAGCCCTAATGCTCTTGTCAACATCCCAAATCAGAAGCACAATGTCCAGTCCAGGAATTTACGCAAGACTGAGAATGGGGCTTTGAAACAAGTGGAGTTGAATTCCTTACCCTCAAGTAATCAGAATAACACTCTGATTTCAAACTTTACAAATAATGCTCCTACAACGAATTCTCCTTCAGCAGAGTCTAGGCCCAGAGAGATGGTGCCAAGGAACATGAATACTTTGCCATCTACACCTTTCAAGCAGCCAGATACTAATGTAGTTGGCAGTGGAGAGTTTCCTAATGGAAAGGTCCCAAATACAAATTTGAATAGACAGGTGAATGGTCCATCATCTGAAAGTACATCAACCCAAATAAGCAGAGCAGCTCCTTTTGTTGCTCATGGAAGTACATCAACCCAAATAAGCAGAGCAGCTCCTTTTGTTGCTCATGGGCAGGGGCAGGGTCTTAGTGACCCAGTTCAGTCAATGAGAATGTTTGCTGAAAAGGCTCAAAAGCAACAGTCTTCTTCTGATCATTCCCTAGTTGATAGTCTGCCAGTGACACCATCAGGTCCATCTGAACAGAGAGATGACTCCGGCAATGCTTCAGCAGCAGCTGCCCGTGCATGGATGTCTGTAGGTGCTGGAGGGTTGAAACAAGGATCTGACAGTTCTAGTTCACCCAAAAATCAGATTTCTGCAGATTCTTTGTACAACCCAACAAGAGATTTCCATCCACACATTACACGAATTCGGGGGGAGTTTCCTTCTGCTGCAATGTCTTTCCAGCCATTTCCAGCACTTGTCCCTCAACCTATTCACACAGGCCCTCTTTCACAGTTTCCCAACCGGCATATGGTTTGCCCTCAATTAGCATCTGCTGACCAATCTAGAATTCAAATGCAGTCCCCTTGGCGAGGTCTTAGTCCTCGTGGTCAATCAAGGCAGAAACAGGAAACCCTTCCGCCTGACTTGAATATTGGTTTTCAATCTCCAGGGTCACCTGCGAAACAATCATCTGGTGTCCTTGTTGACTCACAACAACCAGACCTAGCTTTGCAACTATGATGAGGTTTTGCTGCCCTTGGTGTGGATATTTCCACATGAATTGGACTGGTCCCTGAAGTTGCGGCTCCTGTTATTGTTGAGTTTTGATCCTAAAAGTCTTGCGTAAATTTGAAAGGGACAGAAGTTTGCGTGTTGATTGGGATTTAGCACAAGGTTGTCCCCAACAAAATGAGTTTGATAGTGCAGGAGACGATGGTGAATTTGACAGAGAATAACTTAACGACTTGACATTATTTCCAGACGAGTATTACTGATTCAATGCAGCATGTCTCTGATTTTCTCCTAGAATTGAATCCGTAGAAAGTCTGCATATCTATTGATTATATCTGGAGCTGGCAAAAAATATTACTGATGCCTTGTACAATATTTACAAATTGATGAGATTCAGTTGCCTAGATATTTCGTTCATTTGGTGTCTAATGTATCTGAAAACCAGTAGGGCATCTCTTCTTAATTATGCTATTATTTTGTACATGAGATTACATGTTACTAATGGTAATGGAAAACGTTGCTTACTTCCTTTTTCCTTATTTAACTCTATTAGGTTGCTCCAACAAACAAATTTTGGTTAGTGCCTGTTCACCCTTTATGATATTTTGAAGTCATGCCTACATGTCTCCAGTGCTTCTTTTCTAAATTGACACTGACTACCTTGATATATATGTAAGTCGTGATTATGATTTTCAAGAGGATGAGGGCCAATGGAAGTTGGTTCACCTATTTGATCTTCCATTCCAAGTCAATATGTTTGATTCTAGAATATCCTGTTGGGTAGTAAATACCTGATAAGGTATTCTTTGAAATGAACGAAGTTTAGCAAAATATATTATTGAGCCACATTAATTTTCCACATGCACCCATAAAGCAGTCTTTTCTTCTCCTTGAAACACCTGTACACAAACATGGGGATGTAGGAATAGAAAGCGAAAAATGCCTATTTCTCTGTTCCCCCTTCCACATGGGCTAAGATTAGTAAGACGCTGAAGCAATTGTAAATTACATGAAACCAAACAAGCTGCTTCACGGTGGTTCCAAGCGAAAAATGCCTATTTCTCTTCTTCCCCTTCCGCATACCTATTTCCTTATGGCAGCCACAACCAACAAACTTGGATACTCTTCTGCACATACAAAATTGGTTCAGATTTGCAGCTTCCTCTTCGATTTAGATGCTTTTGGTTGTGTTTCCTCCGATTCATCAGAGTACAAACATCACCATCACATATAACCATGCATATTGGATCCTGAAGATTCAAAGAAGCAACAGAAGATGTTTGAGAACGACAAAACCATGATAGTTTCTATCTCCAAGGTGAAGAAAGAATTGGCTTTCTGGTTTCCTTTATTTATTGCTAGTTTGTGGGTGCGTGGGTGTTGGGGGGTGGGGGGCAGGTGACACAGCATATGCAAAGTAATGGTCAACAATGGAGCAGTGAGGCACAAAAATAGTTGCCAATCAGACTGGAGTGGTTACATGAAGCCTAGAATTGAGGCAACACTTCAGAAACTTTGTGATCAAAATTCACATGTTGAGAACCACATAAGATCTCACAAATTTTCGGATGCTTCTTATATGTTCCAACCGATAGGATCAATGCCATGTAAAACTAGTTCTGATAACGCGATGTCTTTCGATGGGATTCATTCATACTCGGGGCACCAGCAGCATGCTTTGCTGTTTCTTATATATATATATATATATATATATATATATATATATATATATTTCTAAGCCTTACCCTACGTGATTATTAGAAGACAAAAAGATAATAGTCAAGGAATTAAAAGTGAATTTTTTTTCAAAAAATATTATTAATGGATCTTCTTTGATGATTTTTAATGTATTGTAACATATTTTATAATTAAAAAATTGTACTTTTAATTCATTAACATGACTCTTGCTAGAAATGAAGACCGTATAAAATAACTAAACACTCTTATGATTCAATTTTTTATTTATATTTTCAAATTGTTTAAAGTTCACGTGCTATATTTTGCCGCAAGTTATATGATGATATTTAAAGTAACATTAATTTTAAAACTCGAACCATAATAGAAAGAAGTTGAAATAGTCCAAAATTTAAGGGTAAACCAAAATGATTTTTCAATTAAAGTTTTAATATCTTTGCATGAGGGAATTTAATTCCTTAACCTCCTTTTGTTCTCTACTCTTTACTAATTTTTCATGAAATGAAAGAAAAATGACTTGCTAAAACCCTCAAATTTCCTCTTTCACTTAAAATCACGTTACTTAAAAGGTTATTTGAGAAGGAGGTTTTCAGAAGAAAAAGAAGGGGAAGATAAAATTTTTATTGTAAGAAAATAAATTTCAATTTAATAATTTTTAAAATGATACATTAACATAAATTCAATATATTTTATCATATAGTTATCATTGTAAATGGTAAGAAAATGAAGAGAAGAAAATGAAAAATATTTGGGAAGAAATAAATAATATGCAGTAATCTAATAGACCAATATCCATCCAATCTTTTTTCATTTATGTCCAACATAAAAAATAAAATAAAAATTCTAATTAATGAAGGGGAGAAGTGGAACAAAAATTCTTTCTTCAATCTCCTTCAAGATTTTACCCCATACCCTATAGGAACTAGCATAAAATAAAACAGCATACATAGCACATATGGTTCTGATTTTGGAATGGCTTAAAGGCTCTTAATGGCCTTACATAATCTTTGCTATTGCTTGCTCTTAGATTTTTTTTGCTTGGTACTTCTTCCTATCTCTGAGAATACAAACATCACCATCACATATAAACTCCTTGGATTCTGAGGACTCACAGAAGCAACAGCAAAAGAAAGACAAAGCCATAGACTGATCAAGCTTCAAGCCACAAGAAAGAAAACAAGTGGCTTGTTTCTTTGCATTCCTGGTGCTAGATATATATATATTACATGATATGAACACACATTTTTAGTTTGTAGTGGGGAACAATTAGCATATGAAAAGCATTAAAATAATGGTCAAAGATTGCACAATCTGTCAGTGTCAGCAATCAAAACACGTTTTGCTTTGTTGACAACTTGTCAGGGACAAGAGTAGTTGTCACGAATCACGTTGGATTGGCATGGTAGCTGAAGCCATAAATCTTATGGAGACAGCTCTCAATTCAAGTATACCAAAAGTAGGTAAAATGATTGGACCAATTTCGATTAATCCTCCTAAAATATGAAATTTAGATTGAGGTCTTGACTATTAAAAATGGGAGGATTTAGGTTTTTCTACAAGACATGAATTACTTCAATAGTATCCTCAAATGTTAGAACTCAAGTTCTTTATTTTTTTGGTTGGAACTCAGGTTAATTATGATTAAAATATAAATGTTGTACGAGAAATTCTAAATTTTACTAATATAATTTATCTCAACATGACCCAATTGAATCCAATTTCACAAATCGTGACATAGAGATCGCTCAATTATGAGATGATAAGAGACTTGAAGAGATGGGGTGTGAGAATAATTGAAGTTTGAACATTACTGGCCTTAATTATTAGGCAATAAGAAGGATGCGACATTTTCATATGTATAGCACTAAATAAGAAGTAAATTTAACAGCAGTTTAAATATCTTTTAGTCTGTATAAATATTATTTTATGTGATTTTAGTTATTATTGTTTTAAAAAATTATAAGAAATAAAAATAATAAAAAAATTTAGAAGGTTAAAATTATATTAAATCATATTTTTAACAAAACCCTATTTTAATTTAAGAAATTTTTTTTTCTTTTGACCCAACACTTGCAAATTGTGTCCATTGAAGGGTAATTGTGTGTTATGATCTTTTTCTTTTTATTATGACCCTTTTTACTGTTGATGTATATGCAGAAGGAAGCATACATAATGAAACACTTATAACTGCCAAAAGTTTAATTATATTTGTAATAATTCACAAAAATAATGATATTTTGAATAGTATTCTTTCTATCCTGATCGATGGGCTCATTTATTTAGAAAATATCTTCAAAAGCAAAAAGATAATAAAAATTGTCATCCTCTATACCCTAAAGAAAAATATATAATAAACCATAAAACATTAGCATAATTCAGAAATAATTTGTGCGTACTAAATAGAAATTATAGAGAATATTAAAATTTAAAAACATTTCAAATTATTCTTCAGCTCTAAGATTAGGAACACCATACCCTAACATAAAAAACAAATTTAAAGGAAAAACCTAAAGATCAAACAAAAAAGAGACTAATAAAAACACATTTAAAAGGTCTAATAACAAGAAAAAGAAGGCAAAGTTAGAAAAAAAAAGGAGCAAATAAAGACAATCTGTGACTCTTTTTTTAAAACACGAGCCTAGGCTATAGATAAAAAGCAAGATCTGTACTTTTTAATACTCAAAATTGAAATACAACATAAGCTAGAGTGTGAAGACAAAGCATAATTTAATAGTTCAGTTAGAGGAGGTGTTATATTAAAAATAAAATCTTCATATTAATGGGTTAGAAACAAATAAAAAAAGTACATAAATTAGATAATAAAAAATTCCAAAGTGTCAAAATTTAAAATTTGATGCACTATTATAATATATATACAAAAGGGTATGAAAAAAAGAGAGAGTGAATTACGTTTCATGAACCAATCTACAGCATGCTGTTGATGACAGAAGCATGAGTGATGATATCACCTTTTTCCATAAAGACGAGAAAATGAAATCCTAAGGCTTTGCTTTTTCAATGGTTTTTCCTTCGGATTTCTCAGAACACAAACATTGCCATCGCATTTGTATCCTTTGGATTCTGATGAAGACTCAGAAAAGCACCACCCAAAGATGTTTGATACATACAAAGCCATTGGAAATTAGATATATGAATAACTCTTAACAATTGCATTCTGGTTTGTATTCATAGACCTAACCACTTGTTGACTTATAATATTTTCTCAATAACTTTATATAACAATTTTTATAATAATATTTGTTCTATCATATCACCTATTTTATAGCTTTTTTTCTAATTTTCTAAATCAAACAAAAAGTATAAATTTAAAATTTCTCTAATGCATTAAGTCTATGAGCAAAATCTGAGGTCAATTTTGGGCAGCTCATAACTTGTGAAATTTTCGTTACCATTAGTCCATTGGTTTACTATTTTGTGTTAAAACGTGTTAGACTGGTTATTGTGTTGCTCTTCTTTTTCAATTTGAATTTTCTTTTATTTTTATTTTTTATTTTTATGTGGAAACTACTATGTAGTATCAAATTATCACAGAAAACCGTTTACCAAAAGAAAATGAAAAAAAAAAAAGTTTTGAAAAACTGTATAACACCAACTTTGATTTTCGTCAAACACTCGTTTGTTTTTTAATTTTATTATTTAAACCACTCATTAAGAGCATTCGTTAAATTCATGCAATTTCAATTTGAACCATTCACTATAAAAAGAAAGTTATTATTTATCAACAAATCTTTTATGAATTTAACTTTTGTTAGTATATTATTTTTTAATAAAAATAGAATTTTTAACATATTAAATGTTTTTAATTTTTACTAACAATACAATATATTCAATATATTATATCAACATATAATTTTATTAGTATAAAATATTAATTTATATTATTATTAATACACAAACGACAATATACTGATCTGTTGATATAAATGACTTATTAACAATTTAATTTTTATTAAGCAAAGAGTACTATATTAACAAAAAATATTCTAATATTTAGAGTTTTTTATTGTTAGTAAATGATGATTTTTTATTTTTATTTTGTTGGTAGTGATTGAACACTTCTCTTACATACATGTATTTTAACACTCATCTTGGATGTCTACACTAGACACCCACTATTTTTGGGTGTTAAACTATTATTTTATAATTATTTTATATTATTTGTATTATATTAATATTATTTAAACTCTTTTATACACATAAATAATTTTAAAAAATTATTTCGATACCAAAATATATTAGGTTTCTAATGTAAACATTTATTTTGGGTGTTAAAGACTAGTTCACACTTTCTCCACACCATTTGGTTGATATTCCTCTGTGACATGGATTGTGGACACATTTTCTAAGAGACATTTATAGAATCTTTTATGACAATCAACCATGGTGTTAATTATAATCTTCAACGATTAACCTGATATTAGGATTGGCTAATATTTCTAAGATATATATCACATCAAATGACAAAGCCAAAAAGCTAGTTACCTCTCTCTTTAGTGAAATTTTTGTAAAATAAAGAATTAATAAATAAATAAATATTTTTTGAAAATTTTTAATTTAATTTCTTTAAATTTAAAAAAAAAGTATTTTAAATTTTTATACTATTTTTTTATATAAAAACTTTTTTAGAAGTTTCCTCAATATATATATAATGCGCAAATAAATATATTTTTCTGTTCAATAGTAAAAAATAATAAATAAAATCCAAAATAGTGAAAATATGTAAAAAACAGGTTATCTTATAATTATTTATAATCTTAAATGAAACAAAAGAAACACAAAATTTATATATAAACATAATATTTATTTAAATACACTATCCCTTTTCAGGATCAAATGTATATAACTTTATTCTAATTTAATGTGATAAAAAAAAAATTATATAACCATAAAATGTACTACAATGGTATGTTAAATTTTAAATATTTTAATTTAACATACAATTGCAACAATTTAACAATATTTTAAATTGCTCTACATGGTATGAATATAATTATCAGTTATGTGAATATTTGATATTCTGAAATATAATAACATTATCAATTTAATGATTATTCAAATCCTTTTATATCCCGTAATTAATGCTCTCTCTCTATCATTAATACCTTGTATGTTGCCTGATAATTTGAAATTTTTAGAAAATTGTTAAAAACTTAACCAAAATATATAGTGAGTTGGTTAAAAGAAATATAAACAATGAAATAGCAATGTCACGATCACATGGACTATTTTAGATATCATATAGTATAAATTAATAGATAGTAAATTATGACAATATTTAATAATAAGCACCTTTTATTTTGCTTACAATTGACAAATGTTGCGTAAAAGTTCAAATTCATTTATTTTAGCACATGTTTAGATCAATGAAAAATGATAGAACGGATTCAAATATATTAAATAGAATGGAGTAAAATGAAACATAATGAAGTAAATATTACATTTTATTATTAGTTAGATATATTATAACCCGAATGAAATACATTTTTCATTCAATTGTTTGGAAATCAACAAAATGGAATAAAATATTTTTATTTATATTATTATTCTGTAGTGATATTAGAACTTTATAAATATGGGTTAAAGATACACTAGTAATTTAATAATTATGGAAATAAAATTAATTAAAATTTATTTTCTAAATTGGGAGAACAAAAGTGAGAAATTTAAATAAAAAGGGATGGAATTCATCGTATAAAATATAATCTCATTCTATTAATATTTAATCAATTCGAACAATGAAAGCATTTAAAGTATCATTTTATTTCATCTCTTTTCACTAATTCAAACTCTAAGCTACTAAATTTATTGAAAATGACAACGCTAATTAATATCTTTATGCATTAAATTTAATTGTTCATATTTAATTTCTCTAATTTTTAAAATGCTAAAATTATTATTTTTTATTGTATTTTATATTTTTAGTTAATATTTTTTATTTATACAAATTAATAAAATGTCATATTTTCATTATATTTTTATTGGTTATTGAATAGAATTTTAGAGTGAATAACTAATAATTTAGAAAATTAGAGAGACTAAATGTGAATAATTAAAACTAAAACAACTAAAATTATTTATACATTAAAAATAGGAATCAAAAGTGTAATTAAAAAATATTGTTAAGAGTTAATCACATCATACTGTGAATTGTGAATCTTCTCATTTCAAATAATATAATTCTTACTTATTTTTTCTTATTTTACACGTCTCATTAATCATTTTAGGAGGGCTAAATTCGTTCTAATTATATGCCATAAAATCCTAAAAGAAGAAAAAGGTAATTGTGATTTATTTTTCTTTTCCCTTTTGATGACAATGCAGTTCCATATATCTAATCTTGCATGTAAAGTGTTCACATAATTTTAGCCAATATGTTGCTTTATTTCTTATAATGGCAGCTGTGCCTTATGTATTACAGATAATTGGGCAGGTGCACCTTTATGAAAAAAAAAGTGTATAATTAAGTAAAAAATAATTTAAAGTTTTTAAAAATTTTAAAAAATGTATCATTCTTTAGAAAAAAAAAATGAATCAAAAACTTTATCTATGACAATAAATTTTTCTCTAATTTAACATGCAAGAATAGTTTTTTAAATATGCATTTGTATGACAAAAGTAATCGTGCAACCATTTAACATTAATTAGTATAAAGTATACATAATTACATGGAAGACGCTTATAAAGAGAACTTCTATAATTTAACATTCCAACTCAGTTTCATGGCACCTTAAATGGAACACATAGGACTATGGTTGTCTGAGAAGTCTAAGTGCATGCCACATGTTTACACACACACATTCCAGTGTTGTGTGATGGATTTGCTATTTTTAGCAGCAATCTTTGTAGCCCAAAAAATCCTGGCTTGTCTCTTCTGTTCAATTACCACATTTTCCTTTTATAGCAGCAAAAAAATTTGAGTTGTTAAAAAGTGCACATTACAGGTAGGACTACGAAGAAAATGCATGCATGTACAATTCACCACCACTGGTTCCAAGAGTTTTTCGGAAACGCAATTTTAGCACTTCCTCTAAATTGGTCTCTTCAAAAACCACTGTGAAAACAAAGAACCCTCATTCAGTTTATGTTTATTCATTCTGTTGTCATCTTCTCAACCACGCTCCTCCACTCTTCACCACCGTAGTTCCAATCACCAGCCGCCGCCGCCGCCTTCATAAATAACTTGAATTTCAAGTTACAACCTTTTCTCTCTTCCCAACCTCTAAGCCTAAACTTTCCATTTACATAGTACCAATTTTATTCTTTAGATTTTGCTTAGACATTGATAAACACATACCATTTTATTTGATTCTGATTTATAAATATTTGAACAGGGTTGGTATCACTTGACATTTATTTTATTTTATTAGACATTGTCTCAAAGAGGGAGAGAGGGATATATATATATATATATATATATATATATATATATATATATATATATATATTATTTTGGAACATAGTTTATCTACCAGATTATAGAAGAAAACACAGTGAGAGAGAAAAGTTGAAAAACTAATTGCCTACTTTTGGAGGAAGGCTAGATGGAGCGTATTAATGAAGCTGCAAATTGTGAAAATGGGTTGCTTGCGATGGCCGGTGGCAATGAAAGAGGCGGCGGTGTTGGTGGTGAAGGTGGTGGAAACGTGGAAGAGGTGACTCTTAAAAAGGGTCCTTGGACAACCACAGAGGATGCTATTCTAATAGATTATGTAACAAAGCATGGTGAAGGAAATTGGAATGCGGTGCAAAGGAACACAGGGCTTAATAGATGTGGGAAGAGTTGTAGACTCAGATGGGCTAATCATTTAAGGCCCAATTTGAAGAAGGGTGCTTTCTCCCCTGAGGAAGAGAAGCTCATTGTTGAGCTACATGCACAATTTGGCAACAAATGGGCTCGAATGGCTGCTTTGGTATGCATTTATCATACACCTACATTTAACGTAGCCTCTAATGTACATGACATGTCTTGATCAAATATAGTGTGTATATATCTCTTTTCTAATATGATGTCTATTGGGACAAAGGTAGATACAAAATTTGAACACTTTTAAGTTAAAATTTAACATAAGATGGTACATTCCATGACTTCGATTTTTATTTGTTGTGTGCCGTAGTTACCTGGAAGAACAGACAATGAAATCAAGAACTACTGGAACACAAGGATCAAGAGGCGCCAGAGACAGGGTCTTCCTCTCTATTCAGATGACCATGATCATCATTCACCATCCACACCCACCAACACCTCTTCCCCATGTGTCACCCCAACAGGATCAAACCCCAACACTGCCCCAAAGTTTGAGTTTTTAAACCAACATCAACACCACCCTCTATCTCCAACTGCACCACATCATTATTCTCCTCTCACTTCCCCTCTCCAACATAGACCACCCTCAAACTATAATTCACCTCACACTTTCTTAGACCCTTCGCCTCTTCCACTATCCTCATCTTCACCTTCCCCTCTCTCCTTCACATTCCAAAGACCTGCACCAGTTCTATGCACTCCTCTTCGCTTCAAGCGCTACCGTTCCACTCCAAGTTACAACCTCCAAGCCCCTTCCATCACCCCTTTTTCATCTTCACTCTCTGATCCTACTTTGACTACCCATTTAACTGATCCTGAAGGTTTCAGGTTCCCAAGTTCAAGTTTTTCTCAGTTTTTTCAACCCAATTTGTTAGACTCCGATCGAGGGGTTTCTTCTTCTTCCTCTTCCTCTTCAATTTTCCCGACCAAGTTTGAACTCCCTTCAAATCATTTCTCAAAACCACTACTCCAAGAGCAAGATATTAAGCTTGATATTGAGTTCAATGATCCTGCTTTTCAAACCAGTAGTGGCTTGCTTGAGGATCTTCTCTTGGAGGCTCAAGCACTGGCTTCTGGCCAGAACATAAAGAAACGAAGTTACTTGAGTTTGAATGAAGGAAATGATGTGTTTGATGGGTGCCAAAGCTTTGAGGACTTGCCACTTAGTTCTGTTTATTGGTCTTCTTCTACTCCAGGTAAATTATTCCATTGATTCGTTGATTTTTGTTGCATTTTCTCTATGGTGTAAAACTTTTTTTGGTGAAGTTTAATAAATTTATCAATGATTCTATTTGATTGATCTATGCTAGGATCCAAACCAAAGGAAGAAGCACCAGACCTGAGCAAATTTATGAATGAGGACTTGTCATCATTGCTTACAGTACTTCCTTCTTCCAATGCTCCAGTTCAAGATTGGCATAATAACAATGCACCAGAAGCCTCCAATGTCCATTCCTCTGGTAGTGTCATGACAGATGACAATTTTGGACTTGACATCAAACCCATAGCTTCTTTGTTTCCTCTTACCAACACAACTAACCATAATGAAAACCCTGGTTGCTACACTTGGGACAATTTACCTGGACTCTGCTAAGGTTCATTCAGATTGAAATAGTTTCAAAGTTGTGTATCAAGATAATTTTGGAAGCTATTTGTAATTTTAATAAAGTTTGGTGTTTGATCCAAATGATATCAATTGTTGTTTGAAACCGTTAGGGTAGACATTAATTTTGTTTGATTTCACCCCTTAGGATCTATTGGATTTAAGTTTATTATTGTAATTTAATGTTAGGAGACATGCTGAATGTGAAAAAAAAAAAAACTAATTAAGCTAAATTATGTTACCTTAATAGTTTAAATATAATTAGTTTAGTAGTAAGTGGAATTCACTAATGTTTTATTTAAAAATAAATATACATATAATTTAATAATTAAAGAATAAAATTTTAGATTTTGTAAATAATTATATATATAATTAAATTATTATAAAAAATATTTTTTAAAAGAATTATTTTGACTTAATTTTATTGTTACAAATAATACGTATCAAAGTGATAAAAATTTAATAGAATTAAATAATTTTAAAATATAATTTATTTTCAAATACTTTTATCATAGTGTTAAATGTTTTAATTAAATGTTAATAATTATTTTTTATTAATAATTTTAAATTTAAGAGATAAGATTTATAAAAGTAAATTTTAAATTTGATAAAATAAAAAACTTAAGATAACTTTTGGAAATATAAAAATAAATATTTTCAAAAATATATAAAAATTTATATAAAGTAAAAGAAAAGTGTTAACTAAGTTTTCTGTGTCTTTGGAGCTTCTCACTGGTTAGATCTCTCTTATTATGATGATTTTTAATTTCTAATTTTCTAATAAAATAAATAATATCATACTACTCTTTAATACATTCTTTGAAATCAAATGAGTTAATTAGGTTGGCTGAATATCGTGGTTTTAAAAGAGTTGTAAATTTTTTTTTAAGGAATTTACTTTTAATACCATGTCAATATAAAAACTTTTATACTATCAATCAATCAAATCAAAATACACAATAAATATGAATACATTAATATATATATATATATATATATATATATATATATATAATAAAAGTAACATATCTCATTTGAAAAAAATAAACGTTTCATGTATTTATTAACTAATATAATAAAAAATATTATAATATGATATACGACATATAATTTTAAAGATTCAGGTCAAGATTATTAGTTATTTTTCTTAACTAGCTATACCATTTAATTACTGATTTTTTTTTAATTTACCTCTTATTTAAGGTATCCTATCCAAATAAAAAAAAATTATCTAATTTTGAAATTAATTTAAATATAAGTTATTTAATTTTATATTATAAAATAACATTTCATTATAGAAAATGTGTGAATTACACTTTTTTTGTAATAATTTTAATTTTTATGTACACTTTTATTAATTATGTTCTAAATTTTAGAAATTTAAATTATTGATTCAGTTTTCTTTATTTTTTTATATAATTTTCATAAATATAGATTTTTATATTTATAAAATTATCTTTATTTTTAATTTTTAATTTAAAGTTTAATTTTAAGATCTTTATCTCTTAACTTTATGATTATATATATATATATATATATATATATATATACAAACTATTGATATTTAATTACTTTTTTTACACTGTACAATAGAAATATAATTTTTTCTATAATTATTAAATTATATATATTTATTCTAAAATAAAATATGTTTATTGTACATGCTATTAAAATAGTTTTAGAAAATAAGGTAATCTCATTATTTAATGAATAAATATAATAAAAATAAAAATTAAATATTACATAAATTAATATTTAAATTTTGATTTATTTATGTTAATTATATAATTATGTATAACTGATATGTATATATATATATAATGATAGTTTCATTATTTAATGAACGAATACGATAAAAAAAATCAAATATGTCATAAATTAATATTTAAATTATGATTTATTTATGTTAATTACATAATTATGTATAACTGGTATATATTTAATGATATTTTCATTATTCAATGAATGAATATAATATAATATAGTTTTAGAAAGAAAAAAATAGTCTCATTATTTCATAAATTAGCTTCTTTTTTTTTTAAATGTCAAAATAATTTTTAAAAATAAATAAATTACAAAAAGTATTAGAAAGTTTGTTAAAGGGAATATATTATTAAGATTTCTTTTTTCAGCTTTCAATGCTTTTATGAACAATAGGATCAGACTTATTATTTATAAGAAAGAATTATTTTTAATATTACTCATTAGCTAATTAATAACTATATTTCATATTAATTTTCAAAATTTATTAAGAATTGAAAATGTTAGTATAAGAATTTTTTAAAAATATTTTAAATTAATTTATTTTATATCTGAAATAAAAAATAATTGTTAAACAATATAAGTGTTGGCCTTATTTAGGAAGGAGCCTACGGCCTTAGTATCTATTGAAGTGCACACGCTAAAAGTAATAAATATTAGCTTTTTGTTAAAATTTGTAATATTTAATATTATCTATGTATTCAACTCATTAATATTTTATACTTTTAATTAAAAATTTAATTTTTTAATATCCTTAATATATTTAAAGAATTTATAAATTTAATAAATATAATATTTAATGCTTTATTAATATTATAATGCATTCAAATTTAAATCAAATTTAACTCAATTATGTTTTAGGAGTTAAAAATAATTTAAAATTCAAATATTAAACATCTCTTACATTATTCTAATATAATATATTTTATAAAATTTATAATGATAATTATTCCATCTTTTCATATGTATGCTAATCTCATCAGATATATCTTGCATAAATCTTGCATAAGATAACACATATAGATATTTTAGTTAATTTGGAAGTTTTTTTGTGCTGTCAAAGATTGAGTCTCACTTTATACTGTATTATTTCTCAGAGATGCTAAAGAAATTTCATAATTGATATTACAAATTTTTTTCTTTTATTTGTTTTTTCACTTTTCCTTGCCAAAAAAGTTTAATATTTTTAACTGCATATAATTTTTAATTACTAATGTACCTTAAATTTACCTCTCATTTAAAGTATCTCAGCTAATTAAAAAGGAAATTATCTAATTTTTAAGGATTTTCGGTACAAAAAGATTCATGAAACAGAAATATCAGTTACATAATTAAGAACAAAGAAAATATTAATATTACATTATATTGTAAATCAGAATCCTGACAAACTCAATCTTCTATAAATTTTCTTCCCAAACTCAATCTTCTATCTGATAGATCTATGTGATCGTTACAAAAGGATGCTCAACTGTGAAACTTTTTAAGTGCTCGACCCGTCTTGGTATTCTTCTTTCTCAATCTTACTTTTTTTTACACTCACCGGGTCGAAACGTTTCTGTTTTCTCTTTTTCAATACTTTGATCAATTGAAATTATTGTTACTCATTGCTTGAATGACTTAGATAAACCCTTTTTCCAATCTTTCATTATTGAATTTCTTGTACAATGATTAAATGAATTTGTATCCTAACAGACACACATGGAGCTCATAGGAAGAGAGAAAAGGCCAAAGAATCAATGTCTTCCTCCACCACAACACTACCCTTGGCTTCTATATTTCAATGGCAATGGTGAAGAAAAGAATCAAACTTTCTGCAGCATATCAGATCCAACCAAAACATACTCAAGAAGTATTCCAGAACTATCCACATCAAATCTATGGACTGTACAACATGGTTGGTGCCTTTTGGAAGATATCAAAGGAAGTTTTAGCCATTTATTTCTATGGAACCCCTGCAACCTTCAGAAAATAGAGCTTCCACACCTTAAACACAAGGGCATTAGTGATTGCATTTTATCATCCTCTCCAGCAGCAAGTGATCAAGTTTGCTCCATATTCTTATTCTCTTACTATGACACTAAAACTAAATCTGCTTCAATATACTACTGTGAACTTGGAAATAAGCGATGGACCCAAGTAAACTATCATAAGAACCTTGCAAGGACTTTAGCCATAGAGGATCCCAACTTTGGCAAGTATGGTTTTCTTGTTAACCCAGTTTACCGCAATGGTTGCATATATGCAGAATCAACTTCTGGCAGTGTTCTAGTAGTGATAGAGAAACATGCACCTAATGACCTTAGAATTAAGTCCACAAGTGTTTTGGTGTCGAACTTTATACGAACTAGGTATGACATGAAACTCCAGTTGTTAGAATCAAACAATGAACTGTTTCGAATTGGAATTCTGTTTTCAGAAGATGAGGTTATTGCTGTTGTTGTTCATAGATTAGATTTTGGTCAAATGATGTGGGGAAAAGTGGAAAGCCTCAATGACAGAGTCATTTTTCTATCATGTTATCACCATCCCCCTTTTGCTATTGAAGCAATGGATCCAGAAGCTGAAGGGGGTCGCATTTATTTTGTTTTACGACCCAATGGCCTTCTCTATATTTACAACATTGAAGATAATAGTCTTATGGTCTCTCAGCATTTCTCAAATTTACCCAAAAACCAGTCCAGTCCTGGATGGTGGTTCATGCCAGATCTAAGGTAATATGTTTTGTTTACTTATTTTATAAATTATCATTGCATAGATATCAAAATCAAATAAAATTAGTGTCGTCCCATATTTGTCCAAAATACAATGAGATTTTCTAAACTTTGAACTGTTGATATTAAATTTGGGTATGTTTCATGTAATAAAGTAAAATGATGTGTATTTTTGTTGTGTAAATTATGTAGGATAACGGATTCATTGAAAGAAGAAAAAGGAAGAGCTCAAATCACAGGAAAAGAGAGTAGGGTTGATATATATTCAAAGGAGATTGAGGGCAGAGCAAGAAATGGATTTAAACTTCCTTTAGATATGGTGGAAAAGATTTCAAAACATCTTAATATACATGATTATTTGCAATTTCGAGCTACTAGTAGACTCTTACGTTTAGGAGCACCACCAATTCAATGGAGATCAACCTATTCAATGTCAAGATTTGATGATAAATCATTGACACCACTATTTGTGTGCATGGAAAAAGACAATGTCTTAACAACTGTGCATCCAAAGCATGG